GAGTGGGCAGGTAGGAACTTGGTTGGACAGCGCATTCGTGCACGACAGACAGACAAATAATCCCTGGTGGGGAGTGTGGAACCTGTTGTTCCTACCTGTATAAAAGATAACTTGACTTTAGGTAACCAGGCAGCCAGCCAGGTAGCCAGCCCCCTTAACTATCGGCCCATCCCCCTTGCTTAGGCACCTCCCCTTACCCCCCCTCCCCTTACCCCCCCTCCCTTAGGCCCCTCCCCCCTTAGGCCCCTCCCCCTTAGGCCCCTCCCCTGACCACCCCCCCATATCCTCAGGCCCCTCCCCTGACCCCCCCTCCCTTAGGCCCCTCCTCTGATCCCCCCCCTCAGGCCCCTCTCCTGACCCCCCCTCCCTTAGGCCCCTCCCCTGACCCCCCCTCCCTTAGGCCCCTCCCCTGACCCCCCCTCCCTTAGGCCCCTCCCCTGACCCCCCCTCCCTTAGGCCCCTCCCCTGACCCCCCCTTTCTTAGGCCCCTCCTCTGATCCCCCCCCTCAGGCCCCTCTCCTGACCCCCCCTCCCTTAGGCCCCTCCCCTGACCCCCCCTCCCTTAGGCCCCTCCCCTGACCCCCCGTCCCCTGACCCCCCCTCCCTTAGGCCCCTCCCCTGACCCCCCCTCTCTTAGGCCCCTCCCCTGACCCCCCCTTTCTTAGGCCCCTCCCCTGACCCCCCTCCCTTAGGCCCCTCCCCTGACCCCCCCTCCCTTAGGCCCCTCCTCTGATCCCCCCCCCCCCCCCCAGGCCCCCCCCCCCAGGCCCCCCCCCCAGGCCCCCCCCCCAGGCCCCCCCCCAGGCCCCCCCCCAGGCCCCCCCCCCAGGCCCCCCCCCAGGCCCCCCCCCAGGCCCCTCTCCTGACTCTCCCCTTCCTTAGGCCTCTCCCCTCTCCGTACCCGGCAGTAGGTCTCCACCAATCAAAGAGCTGATTTATTTATATATATATTTATGCACGACAGACAGACAATCCCTGGTGGGCAGTGTGGAACATTGTTGCTACCTGTATTAACGGTCTCCTCCACCCTAAAATGACCTCTCCTCACACTAGTGAGTGCACGGTTTCACTTAGAGCCTCAAAGACTGGTTCTTCTTAAAGCATCTGTTGCATCCGGATGGTGCTGGATTGTCGTTGCGCTCCTCTGCATTGGCACCTCCGTGGGCGCTGTTTTTTTTCTGGCTCGCCCAGCCCTTTATATTTGCCGGATAGCTAACCCCTCTGCTGACTTGCCATTGCCTCATCTGCTTCACGATTAGAGGTAGTTCGCCTGTTTGTACTTGGGGCTTCAATTACTCCCACCTGGCTTAATCAGTTCTGATCACACCTCAGACAATAGGTGGCTGCTAATTTTATCAGTGGCAGACCTGTCCAAGATCAGTTCTACCACCCTTGGTCAAACATGTAGATAGATACGGTTTAGTCCTGAATTTAGGGAGTGTTCATTGACCCCGTGACATAAAGTGTATGCAATTGGTACAATATAAACAATATATCGATTGTTCAATTGATTTGCGACGATAACTGTAAAAATTCTGGACTGTACACTTAATCGCCTGGGGTCAGGCGGAGTGAACCATTACACACATACTTTTAATTTAAGTATTTGTGTACAAGAAAGTTAGCGGTTGTTGCAGAAAGGTGTGGCAATGGTGGGTGTGTGCGGCACCCGAATTGGCAGCAGGAATGGTTCCATTGTTTGGCCCTGAGTAAATGCTTTTGTCTAGATTTCAATCACTTTAGAACGATTTAAAGCTTTCGTGACTGCAGGGATTCATCTTCTTGGTTCTTTCGGTAAAGTCACGTAGAAAAGAGGGGAAACCCTATTCTCATATTTTGGTACTGATGTAGAGGTGTAATTGTGTATGGGCACGGATGGCTAACAAACACAAGGGGCGTGATTAGGGCCGTACACAGAGGAGGTGCTCACACCGACGTCCGCACCTGCATCCCTCACGGGCCCCTCCCGGGGGCCGAGTGCTATAAAAGGTGGTGAGCCGGAGGGCTCGAGGTCGAGTATTAGCTTAAACCAGCGAAGAGTGAAGACCAGCTAGAATAGGCCCCGGAGCTCCCCTGGCTCGCTGTCCTTGTCAGGGCCGACCAGGGCAAGCCGGTGGCGTGGCCCCGAGAGCCCAGACTGACGTTCTTATAAGAGCCGGTCTGGAGACTCAGGGTGCCGGGATCCCAGCTTGACCAGGGCTGGGATAGGTAGCCTCCCCTAGCTCCGTAGTGGAGGACTCGGGCGTAGGTTAGCGGGGTTAGATGTTGTGTCTCCCTGTTAGACGAGTGAAGGGGACGATACCCCTTTAAGTACTGTGTGTACCCGTTACTGTGCACAAGTTGGTGTTAATAAATAAGTGTGCCACCGACCCCGTCGTCAAAGCCTCCTGAATACTTACTACACTGGCGAAGGAGGTCCCATGATGAAGCATTTGGCCTCTTTGTCACCTTTGTCACTTTGTGACAAATCAGCACATTAGTCGTCTTCGGTAAACATTTTCATTATCTCGAAGTGAGTTTGACCCTTTAAGAGATCCCTACAACCACAAGGCTCATGGGCAGGGCTGACTCTGCTCCCCTGTAATTTGGTAAACAGTAAAGATGTAACGATTCTCCCTTCTCAGCAATTTAATGAATGGTCTGATTCAGGTTTATTTTATGAAAATTTTTTTAAATAGAATTTTTGCCGATCTCATAAGTGCAGGAACGGATTTTAAACCTCGAATCGATGGATCATTGTGTGTACCTGTAAAACAGCTTGACGTTCATGCGTGGATAGTGTGCGTGGCCTGTTTTTCATGGGGATTGGGATGACAGGTGCATTTCAGTTTTAAGTCAGGTCAACATTTATTTTTCTTAAGAATTCCTCACCATGGTGTGGCTGGTGGAGTGACATGAACTTGCACAGAAAACATGTCTTGTCATACCTTTGCGTAAAGATATTCGGCTTGCCTGCTGGTATAACCTGAAAGATAAAAACCAGAGGCCAGAAAATTATAATTTTTGGTAGACTGTGTTGTTGGAAGGGAAACTTATCTCACCATCAAATTAATAATCTATATATGAAATTAATTGAGCGTCCTTTGGTACCACTTTCACACTTTTTATTAGACAATAGTATTTTTTTAAAGGTCTGCTGACGTTATTTCTTTTAGTTAAGCTTTATCACCCTTCGACACCCTCCTTAGCCATATAATTACTCTGTAACAGTACATAAACCACAGTTGTTTCTTGTAATTCACTGCTACATTTTAAGCAGTGCTTTTATTTGTTTAATCAAACCTTCATAAATCCCATTTGGCTAAATGTTTATCATTTGTGCTGGTGGTTGGCTTACATTAGCACCATCTACTGTGCTCATTACCAAGTTGTTACTTGGTTATTCTAAAAACACGCGTGGAATGCAAAGTTTTTTTTGTATTTTCTTAAGCAGACGTCGTTTCCTTGTGTTGCGTTTTTTACCCCAGCAAGCACACGACAGCAGTCTTCACAGTAGGTCACGGAGGGAGCAAAGTGCAGATAAATCATTCACTTTATATTCGAGGTCGATGAATAAATAATAAGAGTAAAACTCACGTTCGTTGTTTCCATAAATCACAGGCGATTGTCACGCTCTGTGCATTGGCAGGTCAGCGATTCCTCTCTCTGACTCATGTTTTCCGTAGCTTGCAAAATAAACTGTTTAGCGGTTTCGTTTTTTTTCTTCAAAATATTTTACTTGGCTCGATATGATTTGCCGAGTCCCTGAGAATTTTTACTGTTTTATCAAAACGAGGCCAGGATTTTTCCCAAACTCCATTTCCGCGCGTCGCCATTAGCCAAGGTTTCTCAAATCCGGTTGCCACAGCTTCTCCCCATCGCTGAGATGCAACAACGCGTGTGGTCCCCTTGCTTCGTACAGCACAAATAAACGCTATTGCTTTTGTGTCACTGGTGAAGGACACTTTCGCCTATAACGTGTGTAAGTTTTTCCAAAGTGTACGCTTTTTGACAATTTTATGTTTCAGCTCATGTGAACGTTACACGCTTGTGTTTGCTAAATCTGCAAATGTAATGAGTTAATACTTTCACTATGCTTTCCCAGGATGCATTTTTTTTTCTTCTGTGGATGGGATTTTCGTTGATAGCATCAGGTTTTAAAAAGGCATTATTTTAACGGATCGCATCCTGCTGATTAGACTCGGTAAAGTTGAAAACAGTCCAGAATATTATTTGTTCAAGCAAATGCCGAATACACTGTACTCAATGTCCTGCAGAGAAACTGTTTTGTTTTTCATGCTACCAATGTATAAAAACACGCCCCTTTTTTACAGCTTACTCATGTTCAGGGTCATCCATTTATACATAACTCACAAACATAATAGCAGGGAAGAAAACAAAAAACACAATTTCATTTCATAACCTCTGCATGTCTCCCCTCCTATCTCAGTGCACTTATTAAATCACCTTCTTTGTAAGACATGGAGTCATCGGCCATCGCTTTCACAATAGTCAATCACCTATTTAGAAGTAATAGGATCATTATATCAGTGGGATATATATAAATTGCCCACCCTGTACACTAATTCCTCGTTTAACGCGGTAGATGCATTCCTCAAAAGTGCTGTATTAAGCGAAAAACGCGTTATGCGAAGAAAATTTCACCATAAATAATGTAATGAAAAAATTTGGCGAGATACGATGCATGCACACACAGTAAAATGGCGAGATTAAGAACTGAGGGTATGCAGCTGCGTACTGGATATTCCGCATATTGTATCATACCGCGTACTGTATTATACCGCTTGGCCATGCAGCTGAAGAAAGTAGATCGTTAACGACTGCTCACAAACTGTGTTATAATGGGGCGCGTTCTACTTTGTGCGAAAAAAGTGTTCCCGAATAGAAGAACCGCGTTTATAGTGAAAACGCGTTGTGTGAATACCACACTTTTAGTGAGGACTTACAATATTTTGCATTGCTGCGCCAGCTTAAAGCCGGGGTTTGATGGTGCGTGCAAGCAGACCCAGCATGTCCGGCCTGCACCTGGTGAAGCAGGGCCGCGAGAGGAAAAAGCTGGACCTGCACCGCGATTTCACCGTGGCCTCACCTGCCGAGTTTGTCACGCGCTTCGGAGGAAATCGAGTCATCGAGAAGGTGAAGGAGGGCTCTGGGGCCATCCGGGATGGGATAAGGAATCCAGCAGCTTAAGTAGCAAAGACGCCAGTGTGAGAATGATGTGTCGAGTACATGTACACAAGTACAGCGCTTTGTCAAGCCCAACTGCTAGATTAGGACATCCTCAAGCCTGTGAGGGTCTTAGGGTTACAGTACTTGAACATGCAGCTCAATGATGTGTTTTTGAGTTGTTCCGCTTGATCAGCACGATGTTTCGCACAAAGTAAATTTAAACTGAAGTTAATTTCAGTAGCACAAGGGGCAAAATGTCAGATTTCATGCCGCACAACACGTGATACAACCCAACAGTGCATCAGAGAACTATATAACACGACCCCACATACCTACGCAGTATTATTTGACTGTACTTCACCATGCTGGTCAGTGGGGGATAGCAAAAGCAGGGAGCATAGATGACCGAATGTAAAGAGTACAGTACAATTATGAAATTTGCTGTGCTACCCTCTTGCCCACAACGTAGCCCCACAGTTACCTTTTGACAATCTGGCATGTGTGGTGGTCACCCCTTCCAAACACTAGCCAGGCTCAATCCCTCTTATTTCCGAGATCTAACGAGATCAGGCCCATTCTGGGCTAGTTTGGTTTTGGCCAACGCCAAGAAGTGTCTTTAAAATATACATAAAGAGGTGGCTGGGTTGATGAAGGCAGGGAGTATACTGTGTTCATGGGTTCAAATTGAGTTTATGGGCTCAACCTGTCACCAATTCACAAAAAATAGCCATTGTATTAAATGTGGCTTTCTACTCAATTTAGCATATTTCCGTCTGACAATTCCAACATTATTGGTTTGCTTGCCACGTGAAAAAAGATTATTACAATGTAATTGGGATCAAGATAAACAATACCAAATATATTTAAAGGGCGTTTCATCTGAGATAAAATAAATAAAATCAGAAACCTATTTCTGACTTGAGTATACGTGGGAGGAAAAAAAATGTGCTGCCTACAAAATGTTTAGCTGTGTGCGTCACTGCTGTGTGTAGCCGCATGGAATTCAAGTCAGTCAAATGTAAAAGTGTCTCCTTGCTCAGACTAACATTGGTATAGTGCTCATCACTATTGTGCTCCCTCGAGCAAGTGGTTGAAAATTCAAAATGATTGTAACAGCAGCCGGTTTATCTATAGCATCATTGTATTTGCTCTAGTAAAACTTCTGAAGTCTCATATGGTTCTGTATTTTGGTATCAACACTTAAATACGTAAACACAACAAAATAAAAAAAAAATATTATTGTACTCTTTGTAATAATCTTTGAAATGTAAAACCTTGTGATGGCAGTATTCCCCTGCAGCGTACATGAGCATGCGGGTTTATCATTAAATATTAAAGGTTTATCACACGTACAAAGTTGCACAGCGCTAGGCCTGCGATGAACTATAAATACTATTACAGCAGCATTGTTACCTGAAATTCCAGTTGTATGTATGTTCAACCTTTTTTTCGCACCGTACGCAGCCACTTTACATTGTGATTGCAATTCGTTACTGATTACAGAACTACATTGTTGTTAACTCCAGATCTGCACAGTGTGCATGCCCCTAATCCAGCACTTTCAAGGCATGGGTTGGTAAATAACTCAGATTTGTGATAATTTTAAATCCACTGAGCTCCATTCCACTTTTGTATACAATGTGGTTGCATTTGGAAGATATATATATAGCCGAATTGTACTATGTCGGAACCTTTGAGTTGTGTAGCAAAAAATTATCCTTATTGAAATAGGAACTGGCGAAATCTCTTAATGCATGACCATCCTGCACATGTGCCTTGAGACTTAGTGAGGGTTTCCTGGATCAATAAATGACATAGTATTAATACATTATATCGATAATTATCAACCAGCTTACCCAATATGATCCCACCTTACCCAATATAAATTTCACGTGACAATGTGAATCCCAGACTCATTTACGTGTAGAGCAGGTGACACTGGCAACACTTATACGAAGGGTGTTCATCTTCAAATCCATTTCTGACATTTTCCTAAACTCTTGTTTGTGCAGGTGCTGATCGCAAACAATGGCATTGCAGCGGTCAAATGCATGCGGTCCATCCGACGCTGGGCATACGAGATGTTTCGTAATGAACGGGCCATCCGCTTTGTCGTCATGGTGACACCGGAGGACCTTAAAGCCAATGCAGGTGATGCTGCCTCCTAGCAAAGGTTCTTCTGTACGGTCCTGGCATGCGGCACTCCTGGTTACCCTCAAGCAAAACCAAGTCCAGCAATAGAATGTGTGCCTGGGAATTTGGACTGTGAAGCCAGCAGTGTAATTGAGTCCCTTTTTAAACGTATTTCATCATGATCACATCATCATCAGCTTTGGTTCATTGACTGCTGGATGAAGGAATCCCCAAACTGCCAGCACCTCTCACAATCCTGCAACGTAATAATTCAGCAAGTAGCTGAACATGAACTGATTTTATTTTATTGCTCCATCTGCCCAGTGGCCAGCGTGCATGAACCACTGCTCCGCCGCTCCAACTCGACTAAATATGCCTCCTTTTGTCACCGGTCTCTTTGAAGCATATGTCCCACAAGTTTATACAGCATCTTGAGACGCAGATGTATTTAAATGCTTAATAAATACAAACTGCAATCGTATCATCATCAGCCATAATCAATCGACTGTTGGATGAAGGCCTCCCCTAGCCATCACCAATCATGATCTTGCAATGCAACCATCCACCAAGCACCTGAACAGGATCTGATTGCATCGCTCCATCTTTACGGTGGATGTTTTCTCAGACATGTTCCCTCCCATGTTTATATGATTTGTGCTGATACTTGTTCTCCGCCATGCACATTGCGTGTGCAACAGAGTACATCAAGATGGCAGACCACTATGTTCCTGTTCCGGGCGGCGCCAACAACAATAACTACGCCAACGTGGAGCTCATCCTGGACATCGCTCGCCGCATCCCCGTGCAGGTAACATTCATCCTCCTCGTGCGCAATATTCATCACCATCATCATCCCAATTATTCAATTCCAATTTATTTCCCTGATCACCTCGTACTGTAACAAGTATAACCCGTAAAAACAAAGTTTTTCACTATAAATCCTTTATATGCGTGGCGGCTAGAGTCCTCTCGTCCTCTGGCTTGAGATGGCTGCCACCTATGGGTCAGATGATTGCATGCCACCATTAAGCAATTGGTAATTAAATATAATATTTTTGTCCTAAAAAGTGTAAAATTTTGGGAAAAAATTTTCACGAACATGAATTGTCACGCACAACGAGTCTGTGTGGAAAATGTCAGCTCGATTGGATCACGGGAAGTGGGTTAAAAAACGACCGAAAGATTTGCACGGTCGTAAGCAAGCAAGCGAACTTAATATAAAGGATTTAAAATTGTGGCAGGATCCTCCTGAAAAAGTGTCAAGAGACTAAGTGAGGCCTTCCTGGTTAAAGAAGCATGAAAATAAGAATATCCCTCTTGCGCAATATTTGTCATTGTTATCAGCAGCCATAATCATTCAATTGCTGGATGAAGGCCTTCCCCAGGCACTATCATCTCTCACGATCTTGCAACGTAGCAATCCATAAAGCTTCTGCTAATTTAAAAACTCCCATCTCCACATTTACTGCATTTTGCTCCTGCTCCAATATTAGCCTTGAACACTTGCCCTCATTCCTTTTAGCGATGTGTCCAGTTCACACCCACTTACTTTTATTCACAGTCAACATTTATATTTAGCAATGTGCTCCTCAGTGCCCCTCAGTATAATGGCAAGCAAGTGTCTCTGCATACTTCTTAGCACAAATTTGAGTTTTTCGATTTTCTTCGTCACCTTCCATATTTCTGATCCATATGTCATGGTGAGCCAGTGCAAGCAAAGTTTTCACGAACATGAGAGGGTCGCCACCGTTTGTATGGCATATCGTGCGGTGACGGTGGTGGTAGTCGTAGTGGTGAAGGATTTTGAGGGTCACGTTTGTGCGGTTGGGATGTGTGCAGGCGGTGTGGGCGGGCTGGGGTCATGCCTCGGAAAACCCGAAACTTCCAGAGCTGCTGCACAAGAACGACATCGCTTTCATGGGTACAGTGACGTCGGTCTCATACGCAGATGATGCCTCGTCATCTTCGGTCACAACAGCAGCAGCGATCGTCATCACCATAATCATCAGTCAACATTGACCGTCATCTTCATCATTAGTCGCAGCAGCAGTTAATCTCAACATCGCAATCATCATCAGTGGCATTATCAATAGTAGAAACCATGACCATTAGTTGCAAAAGTGATAATCATTATCATGAGCAGCCATGGCATTATCAACATCATAATCACTATCATTGCCAATTGGTCGTGGTCCTGCAATGTCACAACTCATCACACTCCTGCACATCAACTAATATAATTGCTACATATCGGTGGTGATCATCTTCTTGGACACATTCTTCCCTTTGGCTGCCATTGTGTGAACTGACTCGTCCACCAGCCATCATTCATTCTAACGATGTATTCTGCCTCAGCACACTTTACATTAATGTCAATATTATTGCTTTATATTTTGGTCAAGTAAGTTGGTGTAGAGGACACCCACCGTTGACACATTTGGTACTGATTAAACAGTGCAAATACTTTTTGCATGGTAATTTTTATCGATTAATGAAGTCATAAATCACCCAAACTCGCTCTCAATGGCTTGTTATTCATAGTTTGAAATGTACTGGGAAATGTATACAAATTTAAGAAAATTTTCTCTCTTGCTTCTGGACGTGCAGTATTTTTTAAAATGAAATATGCATGTTGATGATCACATGTGCCAGAGCATAAGATATGTTTTTGATGCTTAATCTACTTTTTTTCCTTCTTTTTTTTCTAACTTTCTTTTTCTCACTCGCTCTTCTGTGTGAATAGGCCCTCCGAGTCAGGCCATGTGGTCACTTGGGGACAAGATCGCATCGTCTATTGTGGCGCAGACGGCCAACATCCCCACGCTGCCATGGAGTGGCTTCGGTACCTTTCAGAGCACACACACGGACACACTCTCATTGATGCGGCCGTTTACTCACTGAAACTTAATTTGGAGCTTTCGTGACTGCAGGAATTACTCTTTGGTTCTTTCGGTAAAGTCATGTATAAAGATAAAATAATAAATTAAATACTACCATACGACGATTCGATTGCAACACAAGCAATCATCATCAGGTATAAACGAAATAGAAACACAAATCTAGTATACTTAGAAATGTAATTATAATACAACAGTGAGTCGGATAACATAACAGTCAACACCCTACCTGGTTGATTACGTTCTTCCTGAGAATGCTACATTTGAGAGAGAGTTTACTCACTGACCCAATCAACTCACCAACTTGTTTACTCACCCGTTTAGTCACTCACACATTTGCTCATTCATTCAAGTGCCTCTCTCTATAACGTAAATATTTACACTTAATTTAAAGGACTTTGTGATGCAGTTACATTTATATGCAACTAAGCTTTACTACCCGGCTTCGCCCGAGACTTGGATTCTTGTCTTGGATTAATACACAGCCTACGCGGAGGGTGGGGGGGGGATGCGTGACGTCAGCAGGCGCACTGCGTGACGCTGCCGCATGCGGGTGACATCACAGATCTGACGTCACGCTCACCTGCCGTGCAAAATATATGCATTATTGCGCCCCCCCCTCCCCCCCAAAAAAAAAATACAAAAGTGTATTTTTATAATTTTTGCATGGTGTACAGTCTGGAAAGTACCCACATGGCAAATTTCAAGTTGGTTGCATGTTGGGAAGTACGCTAAACATTTTGAACAGACACACGTAATCACAAATTTTCCCTTTTACATATAAAGATATACAGTAAACTCTTAATTATCCATTGACAGGGTGCCCAGGTTGTGGATTAACTGTGCTAGCCACAAAGATAGATAAAAAAAAATTTCCACGATATTTTACGCCTTTTACACACGTGCTAGTTATATTATTAGCTGCTCCTCACTCGTGACTTCGTGATTTTTTGCCTTAATAAACAATAATAGGTTGTTCTAGATTTGAAGCTTAAACCATTATATATACGGAGTGGTAGCTCTTGCAATCTCTCATTTACTTGATACAGCTGTCGTGGCTGTGACGGTTCCACCTGAAGACGGAAGCTTGTGTTGCCTCCGAAACGTCGTGATTTTTATTTTATTTTACTTTTATTAATTGTAATGTTTTACCTACGTGACTTTTACCGAAAAAACCTAAGAATAATAATAGGTTGACAAATGTTACGTCTTCCCGCCCATTCTACTTGGGTAAACAGTAAATACGTCTTTGTAGCCTATGTTACATGTGTTTTGCATTATCCATGATTTTTATGCTATATGAGCCAAGGCTTCCACCATTACCCTGGATAAGCGAGAGCTGACTGTAAATCCACATCGTATTGTAATTGCATTAAGGGGCTCCGTCATTGTGCGCGTGCAGGGCTTGTCGTTGAGTGGAACGAAGCGGACAGGAAAGACAAGGTCGTCAACGTTCCGCCCGAAATCTACGAGCGCGGCTGCGTCAACGATGCAGAGGAGGGACTCAAGGTGCTCGATTGCCACCTCTTGCCCCTTTCTCCAGCCATCTGCACATTGTGAAAATCTAAAACGGTCCACAGTCGCCTAATTGGGAACGTGTGCACATAAACCCATCGTGGGGGCTGTTTGACCATGTTTCCCCACACTGGTCAGAGTGGGGTGTGTGACAGCTGGGCCCATAAACATGGGAGCCTCGTACAATACAACAAGGGATTTTGCTGCACTGCTCTTTGCTTACAATGTAGCGCGGCAGTAGCCACAGCACCTGTTTTATGCATATTTGTTCTGTTAATCCGAGGGATTCGATCAGAGTTGATGCCATGTAACGTCATTTAAAAAAGATTCACACACATGGAGGTGACTGAGTTGCTCAGGGGGCTAATACTGCGTCAAATTACTCAGCCAGCACCAATGAGAGTTCAAATTGAGTTGATGTGCTCGGCCTGGTCACCAGTGACTGCACTTAAGAGATCTGATGGGATTGGGCACATTCAGAGAGAAATTGATCATAGGCAATTGGAGAACAAACTGAATGTAAATAATGGTCCTGCTTTTGTATGCTTTCTGGGGTAAGACGACCTTGTACTTAGATTACTGTATTTGTTTCAATGCCCAGAATGCCACACGGTAATGTTTTATGTATTTGTATTAATGTCATCTATATATGGCCTATTTAGCTGCAATGTGTATTGGATTTAATGCTTAATTCAAATCCAAATCTTTCTGTAAATGATGAAAAAACACATCTCAAATGAATAATGCGCGCAGGCTGGAACGAATCGGAAACAACAACGTGCAAAGGTGTGTTTGCGAATAATAGAAATGCAAAGATACAGCTGTCAACAGATGTTACCAGTCTACAGATGTTACCAGTCTACAGCTGTCCCCTTGTTTCACTTCTGCAAGGATTCATACTCTTAGGTTTTTTCGGTAAAATCACGTAGATAAAAAATAAAAATTTTAATTAAAATCAATGAAAGTAAAATAAAAATCACGACGTTTCGGAGGCAACACAAGCTTCCGTCTTCAGGAGGAACTGTCACAGCACGCTTGCTGTACTTGATAATTTTTTATTTTTTACCTACGTGACTTTACCGAAAAAAACCTAAGAGTAAGAATACAGCCACGCATTGTACATGCAATGAGGTAGTCACATGACATTCATGCAAGGCATGGTGGGAGTCGTGCCTTTTTGCTTTTTGTGAGCACACCTCTGTATTTCTGACTGGATGTATATAGCACTACACATATCTATCCATATGTATATATGAGTGTTAATATATGATATATACATACATAATCAATTGCAGTGCTCTGTGAAAAATTTCACATGGTGAGTAAACTATAAAACATAAACAATAGAAGATCAGGGTTTGCAGATCAGTCAGGACAGTGTTGGAGTTATAGTCACAAGTGGGAAGGCATGTGCTCACTTACATAACTGTTGTGAAGTCGTGGATGTGCGTTGCAGAGGGCGAATGGAACGCTTACACACACCAGGTGTTCACTCATCAGCATGGATAACCTAGTGCCTCTGGCTTGCGTTCAAAATCTCTGGTCTTCTCAAATTACGAATGTGGATGTGTTATTAAAATAGAATCATTTACAAAAATCCCTTTGTCAATCCACTGCTGGACGAATGCCTCCCTATGCTGTGTATGTAATTATTGTTTTTTTTTACCATACTTTACCAAGCTGGTCAGTGCGGGTTAGTGAAGAGGTAGTAGACTCAGGACGAGTTCAGATATCTCTTGCCACTGATGTTCTCTGTGGCCTGGAATCAAACACAGGTTGGCAGGTGAGGAGTGTGTAGAAAGCACTGCTCTAGCACTCCATAAAAGATTACATGAAGGCGTTTTAAATTTGACAGCATAAGTAGATTGGGCCTACAACCAAATCAACCAGAATGCACCCGATTTCATCAGATCTTATAAGTAAAGTAGGATAAATCCTGGTTAGTGCTTGGAATGACAATCGACATATTACACACTGTGAGGCTATGTTGTGGACAGTAGAGGGTAGTGCAAGAACATCCATTGTTGTATTATACTCACATGCTCCTACAAATATGCTCTCTGGTTTCACCAACCCCCATTGTAGAGTAGAAGAATGACCAAATAATTCCCGTGACCTGCATAGTATGGGGAGGCCGTCATCCAGCATTGAGCTGACAACAGTACATATCAAATGACACTCATTTATTTTATGTTCTGCACTATGTCCTATATGCTGTCACCGTGAAAACCTCTATTTTTCACATGAGAAATATATCCCGGCTCCGTCACATCCTTAACACTGCAGACACTGAAAGACTGATCCACGAATTAGTTTTCTCCCACATTGACTACTGTAGTGCCCTGCTTTTTGGAACCCCGAGCAAGCTCCTAAAAAGGAAGCAGTATATTCTTGGTTCTTTCGGTAAAGTCACATAGAAGGGAAATAATAAAATAATAAAAATATAAAACAATAAAACATTTCACGACGTTTCGACTGCAACACAAGCAATCATCAGGTGTGAAATCCACAGCAAGAAAATTTTCTTGCTCGAAACAATGAGAGCTCGGGGTGAGCAGCTACATCATGGGACCTCCTTTACCAGTGTCAAAATATAAGAATAGGTTTTCCCCTTTTTCTGGCAACAAAACAGGCGTTATATGTATTGTTCTGTTGTTCAACATATCACTGTCACACCCACTCCTCCTGTGTGTCATGCATGTCTTCAGGCGGCACAAACGATCGGTTTCCCCGTGATGATCAAGGCATCTGAAGGAGGCGGAGGAAAGGGCATCAGGAAATCGACCAATGCGGAAGAGTTTGCGAACCTTTTCAGACAAGTAAGGTCATAGTGTCACTTCATCATATGTATATGTTTGTTATGCTTATTGCATTGCGTCATGCGATGAGACAAGTTATTTTCCTTGTGGAACTCTTGCAGAAACATCACCCCCATGATAGAGAATGACCCCTGCAATATCACATCACACAAGTACTTCTAGGACCCCTTCACTTGCCCGTTCTTCACTATGGGTGGTGTTACCTGCTTTTTCTACTTTAAATAAACCTGAATGCTCCCAGTCTTTGATGGAAGACTGTACAAGCAGGACCAGCTACTATAGGGTCATACTATGAGGCATCCAGGCAATGGCACTACTACCTGATTGAGAGACAACCAAGGTAGACCAGGTGTCATAAGCTTGGGCTGCGACGTGGCCAGGATATGCCAGTGGTATTTTGTTGGAAGATTTAACAGAGAATACCAGGGCATTGTAGTCTTGGATTGCCAGGTGCCCAGGACATAGTAATTGTACTCGGATGTAAAATTGCCAGGAGACAGGAGTACAATTGTTTGTCCCTGCTACTGCTGCTGCTGCGTGCAGGTGCAGGCGGAGGTGCCGGGCTCGCCCGTGTTTGTGATGCAGCTGGCAAACCACGCACGTCATCTCGAGGTGCAGATCCTGGCGGACGCCTACGGTAATGCCATTTCGCTCTTCGGCCGCGACTGCTCCATCCAGCGGCGCCACCAGAAGATCATCGAGGAGGCGCCCGCCAGCATCGCCCATGCCAACGTCTTCCAGCAGATGGAGCAGGTCAGCTCGTGCGTGGGATCTGTTGCAGAGGGGGCTACACATGTCTGGTCATTCGGAAGGTTTTGAAAAGGTCTAATGAAGGTGTAAAATGAAGCGATCAAGTACTCAGTTGGCATGAAGAACAGAAGACAATGCAACCCTCAAACACCGAAGCTGTCGACCCCTGATCTATAGCCTACAGTAGTTACTATGCATCCATAATATTGTTTTTTTGTGTTAGATTGCGTAAATATAAATGTGTCGTTAAACCCGCCACCGCCCGACACAGCCAATTAGTAAGGTTTGTCACGTAAACAGAACGAGTACAGGACACCGGTGTGTTAGAGAGCAAATCCACAACATATAAAATCCGAGTACGACGTTTCGCCAGTAATTAGTTGTTATTACCTGTGTTGAGTAGTTCCTGACATACGCACTCGGAGACGGAGGTAAGTTAGGGGCTTTCGCTAGGGTTTATTAAAGCTTATCAATAACACACAAGGGTACACAACTCCCAGGGGCTAGGGCTCCTACTCTGAGTCCGGGTCCCTGCCGGCTAGCTCCGGTCTCTCTCTCTCTCGTGTCGGATCGTGGACTCTGCCGACTCCACTGAGCGGAGAGAGAAGCACCTCTACGGCTACCACCGGCTTCTCCCCAGACTCACTATTCTGCCGACTCCACCGACACACACACAGACACACACACAGACAAAGACACACACACACAGACACACACACAGACACACAGACACACACACAGACACGCACCTCTACGGCTACCACCGGCTTCTCCCCAGACTCCCTATTCGATCCCTCTCTCTACCCCTGGTTCCCTTTTCACCCTGCTTACTTTCCCCGTTCCCAGAGTGACCCCGCTTACGTCACGGGGTATCCCTTAAGTACCCTAGGAGACGTGACGTCACGTGCACTGCCCAGCGCGCGTGACCCCACGTCCCGTGATGTCATCGCACCGGACAGCGCACACAACGCCACCACTCTCCTCTACTCCTCTACACCTGTATTATGGATGATCTTGGTTGCGAAAGCCTACGTGTTAAAGTTACTATGCAGATGCTTATAGATCAACAGTGTCTAATGCTGTGTCTCCAAGAACAGACAATACAGTGACACAGACAATACACTGCAGACAGTACAGACACTAATAACGAGACAGTACAGACAAGAAAGACAGCACAGCAGATCGTACAGGTGGAACAAACAGTACAGATGAGAAGACAAAACAGACAAGACGGCACAAAGCAGACAGTAGAAGGCAAGATAGATAGTACAGATGAGCAGAGGTCGCAAACGGGTTTTGATTCCTTACCCGTACCCGTACCCGGCCGCACCAGGGTCGCAAACGGCTACCCATACCCGTACCCGGCCGGGTACAGGTAGCCGGGTATCGGGTAGGGTACGGGTATCAGGTACCCGGTTGCGACCTCTGCAGATGAGACAAACATTATGAGTTAGGCACGACATACAATACAAACGAGTCAGTACAAAGCCGACAATGCAGGCAGTGAAGATTTAGACAGTATAGCCAAGACAGAAAGTTCAAACAAGGCAACAAAAAAATAAACGGTTCTTGAGTTGATTCAATACCTAAATGGTGGTAAGGCATCTTCTTGGTTCTTTCGGTAAAGTCACGTAGAAGGGAAATAATAAAATAATAAAAATAAAACATAATAAAATGCATTCAATCGATGAATTGTTACCTGCCTCTCATCCATCCCTCCCCTTGCGTGTTTGTTTGTGTGTATGTGTGTGATGGACGAGTAGTGTGCGGTGCGGCTGGCTAAGATGGTGGGCTACGTGAGTGCCGGCACGGTGGAGTACCTCTACAGCCAGGACGGCAGCTTCCACTTCCTGGAGCTCAACCCTCGCCTCCAGGTGGAACACCCGTGCACCGAGATGGTAGCCGACGTCAACCTGCCGGCCGCTCAACTGCAGGTGAGATTCGTCGCTTGACATCTGTGGAAAAACGCTTTATAGCTCATTGGATTCCTCCAGTATAAATAAATATTCTGACTCTGTCACGTGCTCGCGAATACCTCCCTTACGCTCCCCGAACCTTATATGGCACACACTAAAAGGTAACAGTAAAGGCGTAGCTTTCCGATTGCTTGCACATGCCACTGCCGGCAGAATGGCCTCCGCTATAGGGAGCTCTAGAGAGCACCTTTAGAGGATATTTGGTTTATTCTTTCACACTGGAATGACGTTTTTGCAAAGGTGGTTGTACCCACACTTTACCCCATCTCATGTGACTTGCAAATTGACTAGCTGTGGTGTGCTGCTCAGTGGATAAAGGCACCGGGGATTTTATAGAAACTTGCCCCATTATGTCAATTGCCGCGACGGGAGATCGGATCGAACCGGCCATCTTTACATTACACCATAGCATCTCCTCACCGCACTCTTGAGCTCCATTTAATAAATCATCATCGATCATCTATCCACTGCCGGATGAAGGCTTTCCTAAACTGTCACCACACTTTACTGTTATATACCAAATGTTAACACAGCCATTGCCATCGATGCTGTCATGTACAATTAGCATGGTCGGCTATGTACGGTGCAAAAGAAGTTAAAAGTACACACATACGTTCCCTTTATTCTGTTAGATTCTACAGTTGTGAACTCAACACATGATCCTCCAAGACCTGCTATCAAAAGTATTTTGCCACCTGGCTTTATCGGCCTCCCTCATGGGCCACTGACCTCTGGGTGCCCTCGTCAATGCTGACAAAACTGTTACCAATATAAACTTCACCCAGTAATCTTTGCTTGGATTAAAAGAGGCGTTATAAATAGTCCCCAATTAAAATAATATAAACCTTGTAAATGAAACAGAAATTGTATCTGAAACACATTCACCCTCTATAAGCCAGGCGTGATATGAAATATATCCCTTGGTCGTTCGTCCTACATTATGTGCTAACCTTACAGTTGGCATGTGTCCTATTTTACACTGGTTGACATTCTGTGTTGACTGGTGGAAGACGAGCCAGCACAAGTGAAGTGTGATGGGAGGTGGCCTGGGGCAAAGATACATAGACACGATTGTTGAATCAACCAACTATAAAACAGACAGGGGCCTGCCTCTCTAAGTAAACATAATATACAGTAGAACCTTTTAGTAGATCAACCCATTGGCCCACTGGACAATTGTTTTTCCAGCAGCACTTGTACTAGTTGGCAAACTTGCAACATATTGTGACACATTGACATAGTCCAACCCATGAAACACATGCTTCAGATGTCACAGGCAAGCCATGCACTAACACTATGGGGCTCACTCAGTACACATAAAATAATGGGCTTTGAGCCATCAGCAGAAGAACTGAATTGAGCATTGTCATTGTTGACCGTCACCCATTTTCTGTTGGCATGCAATACACTTGGTCAATGCAAAGGATTTCACAACAACTATGGGGCTGATGACTCCACCTACGCGAGAGCCAATCAGCAGTGGATTCCTCTCCTGTCTAGTATTTACAACGTTTGCCATTTTAAATAAATCAAGATCAAGTTCAAAAGGTAGTAATGGCTGGTGTCATTGAACCTCTTCCTGTCTTCATATTCTTAGGTTTTTTTCGGTAAAGTCACGTAGGTAAAAAAATTTAAATTAATAAAGTAAAATAAAACAAAATAAAACATCACGACGTTTCGGAAGCAACATAAGCCTCCGTCTTCAGGTGGAACCGTCACAGCCACGACAGCTGTATCAAGTGAATGAGTGATCACAAGAAATACCACCCCGTATTGAAAGCGATGGGTATTACCTTGTTATCTCAGCATCTCTTGAGGAAGGCCAGCGTCTCGAGAAGCTGTGACTTCTTGTCTCGTTGTCTGTTAAAAACTCTAACAGATAGGTGGAATTCCTCCCCGTAGAGGGCATTAATTCTAGATTTGAAGCTTTCGTGACTGCAAGGATTCATATTCTTAGGTTTTTTCGGTAAAGTCACGAAGGTAAAAAATTGAAATTAATAAAAGTAAAATAAAACAAAATAAAAAATCACGACGTCTTCCTGGCTTCTCACTTGGCTGTAAACGCTGGACCACGGTGAACCGCATTTGGGCATCGCATGGTCGATGCGCTGGCCTTTGACACGAGTGGAAGATAAAATATGTTTTCACGTGCGATGGTGGAGTGGAACAAAGCGTAGAGCCACATGGTCAACTGCTACCCATCACGACCATCAAATAACAGCACCAAAGCAATCCACGAGCTCACAGGCAGCACCGTTAAATGGCTAAAGAAGCCGGAGATCAATTATAACATGTGTTGCTGTTCCAAGAATCAGTTACTTATCTCAGCAGTACACCATGTGAAAGATGAAGAAGTGTCTTTCTCTCTGGTGAACAGCATAAGAACTGGATCTGATTCTGGTCTCACTTTGATGGATTCATCCCATTACTACTCAAAATTACAATGTCAAGAATATGTGTGTCTGTTCAAAATGTTTAGCGTACTTCCCGACATGCAACAAACTTGAAATTTGCCATGTGGGTACTTTCCAGACTGTACATCATGCAAAAATTATAAAAATACACATTTCTTTTTTGGGAGGGGGGGGGGAGCTCAATAATGCATATATTTGTTGCACGGCAAGGGAGCTGTGACGTCAACTCTGTCATGTGACCCGCGCATGTGGAAGCATAACGCATTGTAGTGTAGTGGTTAGCGCGCCGCTCTACAAACCCAGCGACACGAGTTCGATTCCCGCTCACGGCCACCACCGGTGACGATTATTTTAACCGGTCCTGGGCCTCCCCTAGGTCGACTCAGCCTCAAACGAGTAACTGGTGTGGTGTGTGAACATCGCCACTGGGGAGACAAAGGCGGCTGGGCGTGGTGAATCCAAGTCCCGGGCGAAGCCGGGTAGTAAAGCTAGTTATTGTATAAAAGAGATGAGTAGACAGACTTTAAAATCCACGTTAATGTACCTTCTAACTCATGAGCCTGGAGTAGTGCTCATCTCTATTGGCTGCTATTAGCTAGTGGTGGAATTTATTCCACATTTTTGCGTCAGTATCTCAACTGAAACACTAAGTCATATTATTGTATTTCTGATTTCCTGTATATTGGAAAGATTGATACAATTATGATCTCACAGTTTTTCCATGATTTATTAGAGCAAGCATAATCTGGGTTATTTTCCTCATATTCTATCAGCGTAAATCAATTATTTTTCAGCATTACAAAAGTAAACAAGTGGTACTGATTTCCTTGTAGGGCCGATACAAAATGTATTACATGATAAACACACATGAGTGGGTTATCACGTCATTAACTCTCATTGGCTACATAGAATAATTTGTGCCACTACAGTTATGCTGAGCTGATTCTGTGACACAGTGGTAAGTGCACTGGTTTATGAATACAGCAACCTGAGTTTGATTCCCGGGAAAGGCTAGATCTGTGTTGGGTGATGTCAGAATTGGTCGTGGGTCTTATTCACAAACCCACACTGACCAGCGTGGTGAAGTATGCTTAATCGGCCTCAATGACATTCATCCAGCAGATGATTGATAAAGCTATAAATGATTACTTTTCACGTTGAAATACAAGTCTTCTCAATGCTCAACCAAGTAAAACACAATTATGTATCTGCTGTTGTCTCGCAGTGAATTGAGAAAGAGCTCTTAACAACAACACTGATGTTTATAACGTTGATTCACCTCAGGTGGTACCAGTTTCTACTCCAACCCATGGGTTAACTATCTCACCCGCTGCTGCTGCCTCTCTGCAGTCTTAACAGCTTGGCTTCGCATGATCCCTCTTGTGTACGAATGCAGATAGCGATGGGCATCCCGCTCTACAGGATCAAGGACATCCGCATGCTGTACGGGGAGCCTCCCTGGGGAGACGCCCCCATTGATTTTGAGAATTCTCCCCACACGCCGAGCCCTCGAGGACACGTGATTGCGGCGCGCATCACCAGCGAGAATCCTGATGAGGTGGGTTCAGTGCTTTTGCTCCCTGCCTTTAGGCTAGCGGTGCAGAACTTACGGGCTATGAGCCAAACACAGCCCGTTACTTCAATTCACATGACCTGCGGTCACATGAGGCCTACTCCTTTGGTATGGCCCACAATTTATTATTTATTCATCGTTATAAATATCTTACTACAAGAGGGGAACGTTTTTAGCATGACAGCGTCGTGTTTCTAAATTCAGCTCGCTAGGTCACCTATTGTCTTTTAAGTAGTTCTGAGCACATGGTCAATGTGCGTAATCTGTGCGTGATCACAATTTAGTGACAACTAATATGTGTCTAGCCAAAGGTATTTGAACGATCTTTTTGACCCTCAGTAAGCAGAATGCTTCCCACCCTTGGTTTGGTCAATTGTTAATTTAAAGAAGATAAGATATCTCTTTTTGTATTTTTCTTCAAATTATATATATAAAAAATGTAATGATAAAATACACTTGAATCATTCTTAAATTACTGCAATGGGTGTGACCTACAAGAAGAGACAAGAAATCCTGATCACAATAATCATTAACAATATATAATTTCAGAAAAAATATATAGTACAATATCACTGTTCACCATGTCCCTTCAGGGTCACAGGTGCTCCTTAGGGTCATGTGTCCACTGGGCACCTCTCATACACTGCGAGCAGTGAGCTTGCTGCTCTCGTTTCGGAACACTGCTATGTGGCGCTGCAACAGCAGAGGGCGGTCAAATCGTCGGAGCGGATACTTGACCATCGGATATGCAACATTGGACTGTATTTCTAAAAAAAAAAATCTCCGTCGGGCAGGGATTCAAGCCGAGCGCGGGCACGGTGCAGGAGCTCAACTTCCGCAGCAACAAGAACGTGTGGGGCTACTTCAGCGTGGCGGCAGCAGGCGGCCTGCACGAGTTTGCCGACTCGCAATTCGGCCACTGTTTCTCCTGGGGAGAGAACCGGCAGGAGGCCATATCGTGAGTCGACCATATGCCAGCTCAGAGCCTCAGGGGTGGTAATGGTGGTAGGCAGTACACAGCCACTGTGGGTGCAATGTGTGTCCGGACACCCCCAACACGTTTTACCTGTATATTTAGAGTTTCTATGTTCTCCCCGTGATCGCGTGGATTTTCCCCGTATCTTCCGTTTTTTTCCTTCACATTTAGAAACATGCGTTTCAGAGAATTTGGCTGCTATTCATTTCCACATGATAAGCCACTTTGTTGAGCTATCATTTGTGGCCAGGTCTCTTCTTAAAAAGAGCTATATAGCTCAGTGGGTCTTCCCTGGTAAAATACAAAAAAATATATATACATATGGCTAAGAGACAATGACAACATTTTTGACAAAAAAATATCGTGGCATTTATGAGTTTGTATTTTTCTCCCTTCAAAAAGGTGACGAATGCCGACAATGCTGATGACATAACCTTTAAATACACAATAGAACTGAAAAGTAGTTTCAGGCCTGAGTAAGTAGCCAATGGTTGCACAGATTTAATATAATTATCTTGTAGTAGTTCCCCCTCTCATGGGTGATGAAGAGGGATGCCAACTTAAAGGATCTTATCTGTAATCTCACCAATGACCACTGGGAACCTTTTGCTAGTAGTACACTCCCCAACTTCCCAAGTGTATCTCTGCCACTGATGGTGGCACATTCTGCCTTTGTTCTCGCCGCGTGTAGAGATGCCACCCGTACTTAATTATTTGAATATTATATGAAAATGTATTCTATGATAATGCTATGCTAATGTAACAATTTGGCTAATGGAACGAACAAGGTTTGCAAGTGAGATGTAAAACATGAGAAACAATACAAATGAGATGGTAAAATTATGACGAAAATAATTGATGCTTGAATCAAATTGTCACCTGAAGGCGATGATTAATTTGATTCAACCACTTCAAATGCGTTTACTCGGGTTCGGAACTTCATTGGTGACCACCCTGATTCTCCTTGTCCATTCTCTGTATGTATGTTGAAATTCTTTCACACCATACGTAGCCTACCGTGCTAATCGGAGGTGGGCCTGACCTCTGTGTGCCGTCCGTGTCTCTGCCGTCTGTGGGATGGGGGGAATATCAGGAACATGGTGGTGGCGTTGAAAGAGCTGTCGATCCGCGGGGATTTCCGCACCACAGTGGAGTACCTCATCAAGTTGTTGGAGACTGAGAGCTTCCACGAGAACACCATTGACACCGGCTGGCTCGACCGTCTCATCTCCGAGAAAGTGCAGGTACAGAACATCCACATTTCAAGTTTGTTTAGTCTGACCAGGTTAGAAGTCAAGCGACGAGAACAGTCTCATTTTCGAGAACGACTTTGGTCGGTAAAATGATAAAAGCAAAGCAAACAAAACAGAGTATAGCATTAAGTAAAGCAATCAAGACAAAAAAACATTGCGTCACATAAGGAATCATATATATTGCAAACACATATCAATGTTAAATGGAAGCTAAACATGTAATTCCCTGCAGCACAAATCCTGCCAGATTACCTCCAGATTGATCAGAGCACAAATTACAAAATAAGCTCCAGAAACATAAAATATTAAACAGATACAGGTTGACTTTCATACTAATATGTAAACTAACAAGGATATATGCTCAAAACCTGTCATGTGAGAGCTTTTTGGCAGTTTTTTTTTCCTGGCAAAGTTAGTGCTGAGTAATGCATTGCAGGACAGTGAAAGATGGCGACGACTTGGTGAAACCGTCATCCAAAAAGTACATTTATCCTGGCTGACGATGGTGATGATGATGAGAGTGCAAAGTAGGGGTGTAGCAATACACGTTGTATGTAATCTGTTCACTATAAAATACATACTTCACTTTTGATTTAAAGCTTTCGTGACTGCAGGGATTCATATTCTAAGTTCTTTCAGTAAAGTCACGTAGAAGGGAAATAATAAAATAATAAAAAATAAAACAATAAAACATTATTATTTCCCTTCTACGTGACTTTACCGAAAGAACCAAGAATATCCATACTTCACTATTGTTGTCCTGTGGAAATAATGTTAGTCTTTGATATTACAACTAAGAAGAGGAAGCAATTAAGCGGTTGTAAAGATGTATGTATGTTTTACTCGGTTTCACTAAAAACGTTGTGTTAAAAAAAAGGTACAAAAAATCTAAAATTTGCTTTATCGTGGTGCAGGCAGAAAGACCGAACACGACGCTGGGAATCGTGTCGGGTGCTCTGCATGTGGCCGACGGCTCCTTCCGGAGCAGCATGTCCAATTTCCTGCACTCGCTGGAGAGGTCCATATGACACAATTAAACTACCCCGAGCCTCGCACGCAAAACACGGGACAACCATGTCTATTTGGGCATGTAGAGCCATGCCCCGTGCCCTATAACCTCTGCCAATGCTCGCCTCCTGCCAAGGCAAGGTGGTACTAAGAGCGGGGTGTCACCAGAGATTAATTTCTCACTGAATATTTTTTGGGCCGCTGAGTCTCAAGAATCCTTTTCAGGAGTGACCTGCATTGGGATGTTTGGTCAATTCGCATTTCACCCTTTTTCGTTCCGAGACGTCTGCTAGTTGCAGGGTGGGTCCTGTTCACCGCTGAATCTCAGAGCGCACATGCGGTTAGCGTTCATTTTATTTCTAGAGGCGTAGTGCTGCTGTTTTTAAAGACATTGTGCTGTACACACCGCAGAGAACTGTCGCCACACGACTGCACTCCATGATAGGTGGTGCCAAACTGTAAAACACGCCGTCCTGCATGGCCTTTTACTTCAGATTCCATTCGGAACCCATTTGATTCCGTTCAGGATCGATTCCATTACGATGACATAAGCATATGTAATCTGAACGGAATTGGAAGAAAAATGCGAAAGGGTTGCTTTTGGAAGGAAAGCGAAGCGCTTGGAGAAAACCCACGCCTACAATGGTATAACATTCATAGGTCCAACAGACGAGTTCACAAAGCTACTCACTCTACTGCCATCTCCTGGCCACCTTACAGCTCAGCAGATTTGGGAGTTTCATGAATCTATGTGATCCACCAATTATTGCCTCTACACCACTCTGGATCATCGGCGTGCACCACTTAAATGCCAGAGGAAGCTGTACATTGCTAAAAAAATTTTTTATGAAAAATCTCAATAAAGGGCTCCAGCATAGATGAATAAACACTGGGCAGAGGTTCAACACGGCTACGTATGAAGCTCGGTACCAGTGCAATCGCGCCTTCCTTTGAAAATACACATTCGTGTTCAAGCCTAACCGTCATTAGCTCCTAAACAAAGAAATCGATCGATTGACTGATGGTTCCTTGAGGATGGTTTACATGACTTCCTTAGTTATGGCCGGGAACGCTGCTGCCTGCTACGACCAGATAATTCGCATCCTTGCTTTGTTTACGTAAAACACCCACAAGTGATGGAATTAGCCATAAGGGAAATTTACATTTCCCGCGAGGATCTGGGAAATCTTTATTGGTGATATTTTACACACCGCCCACAACCTTACTGGCACGTCCTCGACACGCGCTGTCACGTGAGAGCACCGGAGAGAAAGATTTACGAGGAATGGCTCAGCAGCAAATGGCGAATTGTTATGTAGCCAGCAGGCAGTTGTGATTGGTCACTGCTCATGGTGGGGTGGGAGGAGTTGGGGGTCTGGCTTTAAATCTCACACGTTGAGGGATTTCTTTTCAACCGAGTGAAATTTACCCCCTCTAACGACAGGCTTTGTGCAAACAAACAGCTTCACGGAGCAAAATCTTCTCACTCACAACAGACCGCGTGAAACATTATGGACGAGTAATTTGTGGTGTAGGTGACTCGTACTAGTAAATGTAAAAATGATAAAATTAATATTTAATTTATTTTTAAGTATACTTTCATAAATGACCGAATATCAATTCTTAATCTTCTTACACGTAAATCAAATCACACGTGTAATAATATTTATTTTTCAACATTGTTACCTGTAAAGGGTTACCATGACCTCTGCAGCCACTCATGCCTTCACCAAATAGTAAAAAAACAGATTCTTAAATCGAATCGCAATCCTGGGGCAGAGGAGAAATGCATCCTTGCTCCCCAAATATTAATATATTTTTACCTAACAAATCCTCATTGAGTGAATACTCTTGAACGTCTGTTCATTATTGGTAAGCTTGGCTAGTTCTTTATGCGTATTTGCATATGACAGAATTTCTGAATACTTGCAAAAAAACCCCACCCATACTCGAGAAAAACTCTCACGACAGAAGTTAAATGTGGAGGCATTTCACAAGAATACCAGCCTCCTAGCCTGGTCTTACAAGAGCTCCAAAGTTGACTGCAAATTACTTGGAATTGGGGCCACAGAGGAGAAGGCATGCTGCTCGCATTAAAGTGGCACTGACAGTGGAAGACACTCTACCCTCTAAGCCATAGCTCATGGAAATGCACCAGCACAGGCTCTAGGTGCTAAGCGAAACCCCCGACCGCAAGGAGGCACTGTCAATGGGATGAGCCATTAGAGCCATGGGCCTGTCTGCCTCCTTGGAAATTAAAGATCCCATGGCGCCCTCCAATAAAGAGCCCAGGATGTTAACTCCATTCGTCCCGGCTAAAAATCTCACCATGGGTCAATATGATGTCTGGCCAGGCCAAATTCCCCAGTATTGATGATTCCTAAATTACAGCCTTCCCCTGTGAGCAGGGACTAAGAACGTCAATCGACTTGGGGCAGCGTAAGCAAGGTTTAAATAAAACAACGGATGAATTGTTCCGCAGGGGCCAGGTTCTGCCGGCACACAGCCTCACCAATTCCGTCAATGTGGAGCTCATCTATGAAGGAATGAAGTACACCCTGAAGGTGAGATTTGGGCTTGACAGCCGCAGTGCAGAAGGGGTCCCTTGTTTGATCACTGGGAAAATATTTTCAACTATGGGATGAAGGCCTCCCCAAATCGCCACCGCTACCATCTCTCACGATGTAATCATCCACCTAGCATTTGCACACCGGCTGATTTCATCAACTCCATCTTCACAGCAAATTTCGATTAAAACAATCAGCCCTTACCAGAGCATTTTACTTATCAAATACATACACTTAATTTCTTTTAAATCTCAATTGGTAAACGATCTTGATCATCGACCATCTTCTCTTCGAGTGACGAGTCCTACCCAAGTCCTTTTCTTAACAGTAAAAACAAATCTGAAGGAATAAATATACATAATTGTAAAAATGTACAGTCTTTTGTCAATCTACTGCTGGATGGGAGGTTTCCACATGCTGTGTCGGTCATGGGGGCTGTTTGACCATACTTTATCATGCTGGACACCAATGTTGGTTTCGGTTGGGTTCATGGCACAGTGTTAAAACCACCGCGTCACCGCTCCACCCTGGCCGTGTATCCGCTTGATGTTGTCGATGTAACTTTCAGGTGACGCGACAGTCTCCGTCGACGTACGTGGTGACAATGAACAATTCGCACATGGAGGTGGACGTGCATCGCATGAGTGACGGAGGCCTCCTGCTCTCCTACGATGGCAGCAGCCACACAACATACATGAAGGAGGAGGTCGACCGGTGAGGACCAACAGCAGCCTATGCCCACGTGACATAGCCAAGTATTTTCTTAAAAAAAAAAATCCCAATTACATTTATACATTATTGGGGGATTATTCCCATGGTGTAATGGTTAGCACACTGAACTTGCAATCCAGAGGTCGATGTTTTGATCCGATCTCTTGGCACGACATTTGAAACAATGGACACGTTTATTAAATCCCCCTGCCGCTGTCCACAACCAGTACGATCATATAAATTTGTACACATCAGTCTATCAGTTGGTTGCATGTGGTGGGGATAAATGTTGGGTGCTCCCACCTTTTTCAAAACATGAGTGTAGCAGTAGTAGGTTATTTACCGCCTAGAAGAGGGCTCTATGGTGCTTCCTCTAGTGGAGTCCTTTTTTCCAGGAGTGGCATGATCAAGCAATTCTGGGCAGCAGAGAGCAGTGCAGCAATATCCACATTTGTAGAGTACAACAGTATTATGCTCCTACATCTATCTGTGTTCCCTGCCTTCACCAACCTGCACTGACCGGCCTGATGAAGTATGGTCAAACAATCCAAACAGCCTGAATGGTCACGTAGATTGAAAATAAAAAAATGTAAAATGAAAATGTTAACTCACGACGTTTTGATATTTTATTATTTTCTATCTACGTGACTTTACCGAATGGACCAAAGAATATCGTGTTATCAGTATTGTTTCAAAGTATTTGGCAGTGTCTGTACTGTAACACAAACTCACTCTTGCTAATAAACCAGCCTAGGTGACCTGGTCTTTACAATGGCCTCTACCGAGCAGGCTTGGTCTTGTGGCTTTAGACCAGGACCATGTCCTCAAGGCTTTTAATTCCTACCTTGGCCTCGTGGGTTGCGGCCTTGAATCCAATACCGTCAGTGACTGTCCACGATAACCGTGGCTAAGCCTACGTCCTGCCCACTCGCTGCACTCAGGTACCGGCTAACGATCGGCAACAAGACCTGCGTGTTTGAGAAGGAGAATGATCCGTCGATCCTGCGGGCGCCATCGGCTGGCAAGCTCATCCAGTACATGGTGGAGGATGGTGGACATGTGTTCGTGGGCCAGTGCTATGCTGAGATTGAGGTAAGTGTGTTCGAAATCGATACATCATGAATCAAACATGACAGTTATCATCGTTATCATCAACCATGATCTGTCCACTATGAGATGAAATCCTCCCCAAGCCGTTGCCATCTCTCAGAGTTTTGCAATGTAACAATCCATTTAACTACTGCACACAAGCTGATTTCATCGCTCCAATTAAGCCTGTAGTCCAAGTTACCCGTACATTTTTATCGCAAGCACAGATGCAGATGGAACAACAACAGTGGTCTTAGAGGTGAACTTTATGATGATGTAAACAAAACGTTTGCCTGAGAAACCTAGATTGATAAAGGAGTTGTCTACAATTTCTCACGAGAATTTAGTTTAATTTGGAGTCTAATTTTCTCCTCAATATATTTCTAAAAATTCAAATGTTTTCGAAGCAATTTGTATATCGTTGAAAGCAGTTTGATAATAGCACCATGTCTTCACCTTCTTCATCACATTCCTATTATCTTCCCCCAACGCCCGGCCGTCCTCTTTCCTCGCCTCTCTACGGCACAGGTAATGAAGATGGTGATGAGTCTGACGGTGAACGAGTCTGGCTGCGTGCACTACGTCAAGCGTCCCGGCGCCGTGCTCGAGCCCGGCTGTGTGGTGGCGAAGCTGCAGTTGGACGACCCAACGCGAGTCAAGCAGGTGAGCGCCATGTGCTGTCGAGCCTCCCGTGGATGCTGCCGATTGCCTCACCAAGCCCTGCTTCTGCCCCTTGGTTGATGCCGAGTGGGAGACCGATTGCTGGAATGCCGCATTGATGTTAGTTTGTTGGCAACAAAGCTATACTCAACAATCTCCTGGGCAGCACCTCTGAAATCCTGGAATTTAATACAGGCATCTTCTTGGTTCTTTCGGTAAAGTCACGTAGAAGGGAAATAATAAAATAATAAAAAGAAAGCATAATAAAATACAATGTTTTATTTTTATTATTTTATTATTTCCCTTCTACGTGACTTTACCGAAAGAACCAAGAAGATGAATCCCTGCAGTCACGAAAGCTTTAAATCGACATTTAATACAGGCAGTCGCCACTGATTGAACCGAGTACCTCAAGTGTCGTGATCTCAGCCTGGTCACCAATGACTGTGCAAAGAAAATGTCACGTTAAATTTGGCAATGCACTTAATTTGGTTCAATTCCAGCTCTAAGAATGAACGAATATTGATTAGACTGTCATGCGACATTTTACTGTCAGTGGCAGTGCTTGTGGGCAAGTGCTGCCCTCTGTTACGTGGACCAGAGATCACTTGAAGAGATCTCGGGTAGCTCTGTGATATCCACTCATAGCACCATCGGGATAAGCTTGGGAGAATATGGCAAGAAAATGAAATAAAACATGTTCTCAAAAGTGGTGTAGGATTTTTACATGCCTTCTCTGTAGTAACGTTGTGAGTGCTGATTGTCACCCTGCTCTTCTCCCCCTTTGCCCCACCTTGGCCACCACCACCTCTCTTAGGCGGAGATATACACGGACGTACTGCCCCCGCAACTCTTGCCACTGCTGCATGGCGAGAAGCTGCACCAGGTGTTTCACCTGGTGCTGGACACTCTCTACCACGTTATGAACGGATACTGCCTCCCCGAGCCCTTCTTTAGCACCAAGGTATGGTCACTGTGGAGTCTTTTGTAGTACGGCGACGTGGGTTGTGGCTGGTGGTGGTTGGGATGGATCGTTGGTAGTGGTTGGTGGTGGTGGATGGTGGTGGGTTGGGATGGTAGTGATGGTTGGGTTGGGTGTTGGGATGGGGCTGTGGTTGGTGCTTATTGCGTGGGTTGTGGTTGGTGGTGGTGATTGTGTTTGGTGACAGGATGCGACGTCACATTATCTTACACTTCACCCGTCCTTGCTGTTCACCTGTTTCGACTGTTTCTCTCCTTCTCGGCGCAGATGAAAGGCTGGGTGGAGCAGCTGATGAACACTCTGCGGGACCCGTCGCTACCGCTGCTGGAGCTGCAGGACCTGATGACGAGCGTGTCGGGGCGCGTGCCGTCCTCCGTGGAGAAGGCCATCCGCAAGGAGATGGCACAGTATGCCAGCAACATCACATCAGTGCTCTGCCAATTCCCCAGCCAGCAGGTGGGTGGGGGCACACAACTTGGGAATCGTATCATCAGTAGCAGAAGCAGCAGCAGCCATGGTTAATCCACTGCTGAATGAAGCATTCCCAAGCCACTGCGATCTCTCACAATGCTGCGCTGTAAAATTCCTACCTTGCACCTGCACACAAAATGATTTCACGACTCCGTCTCCTCAGTAGGAATTATACACAAGGTAGTCGTGTTTAGAGGGTGGTTCGTGAACCATTTGTGCCACCATGCCAAACTTACCGTCGCTGCACTCACTGAAAAATCAATTGAACAAGGTCACAGATGTCCACAGTCAGTGGGCATGGAGATGGTGGGGAAAATAGTTCCTTATTAACACCTCTTCGAGTCATATCGGTTGACATCTGGAAATCTGCCGCACAGACAGCATGCAATATTGCGAATCCATGTGAATTTGTAGACTAGAACATCAGACAGCTAGAAAACAGTCTATAGGTGTGTGTCTTTATCCAAACAAGCGCTAGCTGATGCTTATCTCCAGTGGTGCTTCCTGAGCTAGTAGTGGGAATTCGGTGTTCCTATGGCAGGAACCATTTTCTTTGTACAACCTGCTTTGGAAGTCCAAAGAATGTGGTACACATTTCATTGACCCTGGAGATGAAAATATAGGATGAAACCCAACCTGAATGTGAAATCACAACCTTCCGCCTAAGAGTCAAGCCTTCTGCCACAGTGGCACATGGCCAGATAGGAATATTGAGTGGCAAATCTCCTGCGTGGTTATTGATCCAAACACCAGGGCTCTCTGTTGTTCTCCTTGCTTCTTCCTCCCCAGCCCTTGAAACTGATTCGCATTAAAAAACGCCTGTTGATTACATATGAGCATGTTTACTGTTTGAATATTTTGTACTCAAGTTTTTTCATTGGCCCGTTCTCACGCAGACTTCATAAATGTCTCGGTGTGCAAGTGCCCGGATCAAAAGGGCACTCAGCCCTTTTAGAAACATTTGTGTCATTAAAGGAAAAAAAATACACGAGGACAGTGTTAGGGCAATTGTTTCTCCCAACTGTCATCGTAGCAATTTATTATGAGCAACTATGCTAATGGCCAAATAGCCCAGATTCCACCCACAAATATAAAACTTTATTTAAATATTTTATATTTATCGAGCAGTCATGTGACCTCTGTATGTTATCTGATTGGAATTTGCCATCCTGGTTTGCTTATGATAGGCACGAGCAATCTGATTTATCCAGATTTTAGCAACTAGATTTTTCACAATGGAAAATTGTGTGGCAACTGTTGCCAATGATGATTGCCAGAGTTAGCTGGCATAGATTTGCTCTCATCTATTTAGACCAGAGGTCGCAACCGGGTACCCGATACCCGTACCCTACCCGATACCCGGCTACCCGTACCCGACTGGGTACGGGTACCTGTTTGCGACCCTGGTGCGGCCGGGTACGGGTACGCGTAGGCCGCGAGTCACTGGTGAGTAACTGTTTGTCACTCATTTCCCAACGTCTTGTCTCTTCTCACAATTCAAGTTCCTAGAATCAACCCACCCGCGCCTGCAACATGGCTTCATCCCAGAGATCGCAATCAGGTACCCGATACCCATACCCTACCCGTACCCAGCTGGGTACGGGTAGGGTACGGGTACGGCCGGGTACGGGTACCCGTTTGCAACCCTGGTGCGGCCGGGTACGGGTAAGGAATCAAAACCCGTTTGCGACCTCTGATTTAGACTCTCTGGCAAGTGCTATGACCTGCACGTGTTGAAATGTTTATTGTTCTTAATACTGTAGTTTTATTTTGGAACCACTAGGTGGCTTACTAACTCCACTCATCCAGCACACAGATAACAGACAGTGCCAACACCACAGTTCATTTATAAAACAAACTATAGATGCCGAGATTAAATATATTTAGGCCACATAGCATCATGGGAATATTTTTTATTTATTATATAATGTTTTAAGATGGTATTTTGTCTCTGCCTGAATGTATTTTTGTTCCAACGTAATAATTAACGTTGACTGAAAAGGATACGGGCTGGTTTTACGGTCCGTGCAGATTAATGCAAAGTGATATATGTTCCCATAATTTATAAACCTAGTTCGTAGTTAATATATGCATGGTAATTGTACGGTGAATTGTTTTACCTGTTATTTATCTTATGACTACATTTAAAATTTACTATTATTGCCTTTTCTGTATTGATGCCTGTATGTTTCTTCCACTCAATAGAATATACTCACAAGTGTGACATTGTTATAACAAGGCCACATCTTCTAATGAGACGTAAAGGGATGAAACTAATCCAAAGTATTCTTCTTTTAACAAATACTGCTGGATGATATTGGTCCCGAGAGCACATACTCTGCTATACTTTTTTTCGATATATAGTTTGAGGTCTCATTTTATAAACGGAGGGCTTGTTATTTAAATGTAATAATGAATTAATGATTAAATTTCAGCCCATATAAGAGCCCTTTGAAAATGTTTCATGTGAATGCAAGTTTAAAACTGGGCATGAATATTAACAGAAGATTATGAGCAAATATGTGGCACCAAGAACTTGCAAAAAAGTGTGAATAATATTAAGTCTTGAATAAAATAAAATAAAAATCAGTCCAGACAACCCAAATAAAACAAATGGTCAAATTAATGTAGCCAATAAGCGGAGCATTCATAAAAATATCTGCTTCAGATAAATATTCTACGTTTACTAAACGTTATTAGTACTGCTCATAAATAGAGCAATTAAATATGCATTCCTAAAGGCACCAAATTTATTTAGAATATTCTAGCCAATAAAATCATAATTTGTACTGCTCCCTGATGTCTTTCGGGTTGTGCCACGTGTTGTTCGGCATGATGCCAGAGACGTTTCTCTGCACGTTCTGGAAGCTGCTTTAGCATGCGGAGCGAAAAGTTATACAACACGTGGTACAATGAGAAAGCACATCGGAGAGCTTCACAGCACAATCATGAAAACCTACGCAGTAGTTAATAATGGTTACTGTTACGATGTTCTTTCCTTGCAGATCGCCAATATCCTTGACAGCCACGCAGCAACATTGCAGCGGAAATCTGAGCGAGAGGTCTTCTTCATGAACACGCAGACCATCGTTCAGCTTGTGCAGAGGTTTGTTCCCAATAAAAAAACAAGCTGACAAAACCAGTCTCTTAAAGGAGCTTCTAGTTTGTTTGGGCGTTAAACTGTATAAATAATGTTTGTTCCTTCACCCACGTGATCACATAATCTATGCGTGCTAATCGCCGCTGGCAGGTAGGTTTTGTGAAAATACAAAATGTTTTTTTTAAAGTAAAGTGTTGCCAATCTTGGCGAAGGCAATTACGTAGCTCTTCGGTAGAGCCAAGTGGCTCACAATTGTAATGTTGCTAGTTAAAAGCCTGGTGAGGGTTAGCACAGCCCATCCGTCATTCAGAATTGGTACCACTTTGCGTGGGAGGCACTAGTAGTTGTCCTATGGATAGAATATCCCCTGCCGGAGGAATGTGGAATTTCCACCACTGGCTCGGCTATAAAAAAAGAAACAAGCACTGCTTCAATTATCGTTTGAGCAAGAAATCAATTTGGGTTTTTTTAATCTTGCCCAAAATTATACACAGCTTGGCATTTGTATTAGTAAGCTGCATAGTTTTTAGTGATTAGTATATGGGTTTTGTAGATTCATCAAAACGCGTTAACTTTCTTTCACCAAACCAACACATGAACGTAATGGTATTTCTTTTGCATAGCAATAAGTAGCCTATTGGCTCTCATTAATTAACCTATATGTACTTGGATGTAGCATTGTGGCAAGCAGTTGCATGACCATTAGTAATTGGAAATTGGTGTCTGTAGCTGTTTTCAGCCCAAAATGAATAATATATAGTGCTGTGTGTGTTGACATCAGTGCTGGCCTCCAGCATTTATTCATGTGGCTGCCAGTTTTAAAGCTGCTTGCTTAAAACACTTGCCCTTCAGTTTATACGAATAATTGTGGATCTTTATCCATGGCACCCTTTTTGCCAGTATCAAGATGATGAAAAAAGAAAATGCTTTACCCTTTATGACAAACACATTCCTGCGGAAAGAGCTGGTAGGAACTTTGGGTTGCTCGGTCAATGGCCAGGGTCATCGGCGGCGTGGTGTATTCCGCAAATATGTCCGACTGTGAGGGCGGGCACAAGCCAGCGTGAGTAGGTTAAACGTTGAGTTTTATAAGGGCACCACGGGGTGACCAGCCCCTCCCCACCCAGCCCCACCCCTCCCACCCCCCACCCAGCCCCTCCCCACCCTCCCCACCTAGCCCCTCCCCACCCTCCCCACCCAGCCCCTCCCCACCCTCCCCTCTCCAACCAGCCCCACCCCTCCCATTTTTGGATGCACGACGGACGGACGGACACAATAATGCCCTGTGGGCTGGTGTAACCAGGAGGTTCCTTCCAGTATAATACAAGTGTTAAGATGTTCAAACACCAAAATAGACACCTATTACAAGGCATCAAGTCTGCATTAACGACACATACTTGTGGTAAAACATGCAAACGTATGCTTTGATAATGTAGGCATTATTCTTTAAACTGATTGACCTCCACCAGAGACAACCTCTTTTTTATTTCTTTGTCTCGCCAGTGCTAGACCAAAGAACGCCAAAAGGTGAACAGTGCAAGGCCGATGCAAATGCCAAATCATAAATTGCTCGGGTCAAGCAGTTATTTGGCTACAACTAAATTTGGATCTTATTGAAATATTTTTTTAAATAATTGTGGGCAGGGTTCAGCAGTCTTAAATGGCCTCTGATGGCATTTCCTACGTAAATACAAACTGTGAAATCAAATGCTTTCAAATAAAGCAGGTGAGAGCTCATTGAAACAAAATGCCTCTTATAAGGTGACCCTAGGGATACATAGGAGGTGTAAATATAGCAATACCACTGCACGCTAACATCGGCATTCTATCGTCATACAATAACAGTATTGGACAGTTTTCCCCTGACTGACCCGTAACTGGGATGGAGTGGCATCACAGTGGTTAACGCGCTGCTCTACGAACCAGCTAATATCAGTGGTGAGTGATATCTGAATCGGTCTTTGGCCCCTCCTTTTCACCAATCCGCACTGACCAGCATGGTGGAGTACTTCCAAGCAACTCACGCGCAGAGGCCCTCATTCACCAGTGCATTGACAAAGGGCTGAGTTTTTTATGCAGTCATTGGTGACCAGACTGAGGCCATCAATTCACCACACCTGAGACCCCGGTCAAATGAAATGTGTCTTTGATTCCTGAGTAATCTGGCCACCTGGCCACACCGATTGATTGTTATTTGTCTAATTTCTCTGTCTCTCGCAGATATCGCAGTGGTATCCGGGGACACATGAAGTCCGTGGTGCTGGATCTGCTCCGCCAGTACCTCCGTGTTGAGACGCAGTTTCAACATGGTGAGTTATCAACATGGAAACATGTACATTATTACCTTTTAAATATTTGCAGCATGTTAAGAATCTTGAGCGTATTGAGATTCAGATTTTTGAGGAGCAAAAAATAACCCTCATGGAGAAGAAGAAAAGGCTGTAATGTTTTGGACATGTAACAAAAATAAAAATGGACAATACCATATTTAGTAAAGGTAAATAATCAATTGCCAACTTATATATTGATATGGCTTAAAATAAATTAGTCAATTGCAGTTATTGGCGTCCTAACAAATTATTTTATTGTAATTTATTACGCTTGTGCACCAAGCTCATTTGGAATGAACATCAGTCAACCACTCATAACACTGACTCGCCAAACACATTTAATGTACATTTAATTAATCAATTAATGTCTAATAACGTACATACTAAACGCCCCCGTCTCTCTCCCCCCAAATTTTTTTGGTCAATTATCTGACTTGTCTTGGTCACTTAATGTGAATATATTACAGAATACAGAACTGCATCTTAAAAAAAAACTTTTGTCATTAATTACTCATTGACGGACACTGTTATAGCACTAACTCACTCTCATGGCTGCTTGCATTGTTTTGAACAGACGTGTTAAATTACTCGCGAACATTTTGGTCGCCCGAAAAGCTAATTATCTACATAAATGGAAGCTACACTGCTGCCATTCTTTTCTCTCCATTTCGGATACTTTACATGTGTCTCTTTTTATATATATTTTTACCGTAAGGTAGCAGAGGACACGCTAAGATTAGTCTGTATAATTATCTGGTTTCATCTTTAACCCTTTCCTTGCCATCACCACCTTCTTACTTAGCTCAAAAACGTCGGTTTGCTCTGCAAACTTTACTTCAGTGTGTTTTATATATATATCTATTTTTTTTTATCCTTCCAACAATTCCAGAAGACAAATGGAGAGTCAGTTTTAGTAAGCCGACTCAATGCATGGTTGAAGGTTATGGTGACATAAATATGCGTGTCGCGTGCATGTGCGTATGCGTGCATGTGTAACAGTGGCAGCGGGTAATGGGATGCCTTTGCAGGAAAAACAAATGAAAATAAAACACGTGCAAACGTGCAGCCGGTGCGATGCGGGTTATCGGTTGGCCCGCCTGGGTTAGGGAGCTCATCAGTGCCAGGGTTAATGGCTCCACATTGAGCTGTAAAAACCTGTAGGGGTCTGTTCCTAGTGGAACTGAAGCTAAATTAGAATTCCGTTTAACGTTTTAGCATCGCAGCACCTTTGAGCTAGACCCGGTGCAATTTTTCCCAAATGGATTTTCAAAGATTGCTTAAATTAAAATTGAGAAAATAGAAAAAGAGAGGCGGTATGTGTGTGGCAGGGCGATGGGGGGTGAGGCGAGAGGGAGAAAACGTGCTTTTATCGTTTTCTTTCTTTTACATTTTTTTAAGCAACACTTTTAGATTGTGTAAAACTTTGAAGGGTGTTTATTTAATTTTTTATCTACAGTTCAAAATCGAAGGATGAACGTGTGTGATTTTGAGCAATGATATTCAAGTGATGGAATTTGTTTCAACTCTGATTTGAAATACGTGTGAATTCATGATTACAATGGTTCTCTATGCGAGAAAGTTTAAACTGAGTCTCAAGACTCCTTTTCACGAGTCACTTGCTTTAAATATTTGTCCATGTACCCATAGAGAGCTCATGCAAAAAGAGGATATCACTCAATAATCAACATACTTGATGTACTACCATATCCTTATTTATATTTATTGGAAGTGGTTATTTCATGCAGGCTTCATATCATGTCTGTTTTTGCCACCCCTACCTCAAATATAGTCACGAAGCAAATTACTTTATTATTCCTTGTATGGTGCTTTTAAGAAATGTAATGATAATTCTGAATTTCATTAATCCATTGCTGGATAAAGGGCTCCCCATGTCGTGTTGGTCTTGAGGGCTATTTTACCATTTTTAAATCCTTTATATTAAGTTCACTTGCTTGCTTGCGCACTTACGACCGTGCAAATCTTTCGGTCGTTTTTTTACCCACTTCCCGTGATCCAATCGAGCTGACATTTTGCACACAGACTCGTTGTGTGTGACAATTAATTTTCGTGAACATTTTTGTTCCAAAATGTTACACTTTCTAGGAAAGGAAAAAAAAAATGTAATTACCAATTGCTTAATGGTGGCAAGCAATCATCTGACCCATAGGTGGCAGCCATCTCAAGCCAGAGGACGAGAGGACTCTAGCCGCCACGCATATAAAGGATTTATTGTGAAAAACTTTGTTTTTACGGGTTAATTTTTTCACCATGTTGACCAGTGCGGTTTAATGATGGGAGGAGACCCATGACTGGTTCGGATATTACTCACTGTTGATTTTAGTCATGGCCAGACATAAAACTCAGCTGGCTCATTGTGCAGTGCACAAACTACTGTGCCAGAGCTCTGCCACCTAGATTGTGCTTCTGTTGAGCGTTAATGTTCAGGAGAATATCATCTGCAAGTCGTTGTCAGTGTGTTTCAGTGCTGTATTCACTGCCTGGGAATAAATAAGATAGAGTGGATTTAAAGCTTTCGTGACTGCAGGGATTCATCTTATTGGTTCTTTTGGTAAAGTCACGTAGAAGGGAAATGATAAAATAATAAAACTAAAACATAATATAATACAATTCTCACGACGTTTCGGTCACAATGCAAGCAGCCGTCCTCAGGTGAAGAACAGGTCTGTCGGAAAGACAGCGTTGCCTTTCCGACAGAAGATAGAGTGGCTTGAAAGTCCAGAGATGAGAATGCTCAGATGACTGTTGGAAGTATATCTAAGGAAAAGGAGGCAGAATGAAGAAGTTAGACCATTCACACATGTTAATAATATTCCTGACAAGACAAGGGAGTGCAAGACTTAAATGGTTTGACCGTGTGTTGAGAAGAGACAAAAAATATGCAATTAGAAGTGTTATGGAGGTGTCACCATTGCAGCACGAGAGGAAAAGAGGGAGACTGAGGGTGAGATGGAAGGATGTGGTGAAATGAGATATGAGGACAGAGGATGCGAGTTGAAAAGAGCCACAGCATCGAAGTATATGGAGAACCAAAACCCAATCGGTCACCGCCATGAAATAATGTAACTTTTGGCTATGAATAAGATTAACTCTTTTTGTGTTTCATTGTTGCATTCAGTCTGTGTTATTCATTATCGGTGTGTCTCAGTGTTGCATTTATTGTCCATGCGTTAAATCGCTGCACGGCTTGCCGTTCTCGTTTGTATGTATGTATGTTGAACTTCTTTTGCACCATACGCAGCCAACCGTTCAAGCACCAAATCTTGCCGCATGGCTGTCTCACGTGGGGTTTGTGCTCTGTGCTCTCTTGTCGATGGCCCATCTTGTTCGCTCGCTCCGTGGTGGCGGTCAAGGGCACTACGACAAGTGTGTGATCGCTCTGCGAGAGAACCACAAGGGCGATATGACCACGGTCGTCCACTACATCTTCTCGCATGCCCACGTTGCCAAGAAGAACGCTCTCGTCATCATGCTCATCGTAAGGCTGCTTTACCCGAGTGTGCGCATACACACATTGGTCATGCTTGTTTTGATAACAGAGATTTAAAGTCGTGAGAGCCAGATGTTCGTCTTTAATACAAAAAAAACGGTTAAATACATCATGCGCTTGATTATTTTCTTCACTGATGGTGATGGAGATATCAGAACATTCATTTTCTATCGGTAAAGTCACGTAGAAGGGAAGTAATAAAATAATAAAAATAAAACATAATAAAACAATTCTCACGACGTTTCGGCTACAACGCAAGCAGCCGTCTTCAGGTGAAGAATGAGACACTACCAAACTAGGAGCTTATATATAAGCTGCATTGGGGGTTGAAGAGCGCCTTAACAAAAAGAATGTGCATGTGAAGAGGGATTTAGCATATTCATGGAAAATGCGTAGGCGTTGGGCGGGGGGGTGTCAAAGTCATATTATGCCCATGCATTATGCAGGATCAGCAGCAACCAAGGGGGGTGCAGGGATTAGCAGTAACAAAGGAAAGGAATGTTAATGATACTGCTAATCCCTGCACCCCCCTTGGTTGCTGCTGATCCTGCATAATGCATGGGCATAATATGACTTTGACACCCCCCCGCCCAACGCCTACGCATTTTCCATGAATATGCTAAATCCCTCTTCACATGCACATTCTTTTTGTTAAGGCGCTCTTCAACCCCCAATGCAGCTTATATATAAGCTCCTAGTTTGGTAGTGTCTCATTCTTCACCTGAAGACGGCTGCTTGCGTTGTAGCCGAAACGTCGTGAGAAATGTTTTATTATGTTTTATTTTTATTATTTTATTACTTCCCTTCTACGTGACTTTACCGAAAGAAACAAGAAGATGAATCCCTGCAGTCACGAAAGCTTTAAATCGAAATTCATTTTCTAACTATGTGAATTGGACCCAAAGTGTCTCCCTGTTCTTGAGCATGGGGCAGTGCTCGTATCCATGGGCGGGAATGAAAATGCCACAGTCATGGCAATGGCACATATTGTGTGGACCAGTTTAACCCATGTGAAAAGCACCACTACTGACAGCCCACAGATTTCGCCGATGTCTGTTCGGATTATACTGTGTGTTGTTGGGCATGATGTCCGACATTTCATTCCACGTGATGGAAGCTTCTTGAAAACTGAGTTCTGCGAAAACACAATCGAAGAGCTATCCGGCACAACTGTGAAAACTTACACAGTCGCCACTAAAGCACTACTCATTTGATCAACCCAGGAGATAATGAGCTAAAACGACCTCCAACCAGGATTTGAACTTGTCAGCTTACGATTGTGAGTAGAGTTTTCTGCCACAATACATTTGTTTACCCAGGAAAGCCAGGTGGTACTAATAAGGGGTCTAACCAGAGCTTGATTTTATACTTAATATTTTCAGGTAACTGCGTCTCCAGACTTTTTTTTACAAGGGTTCTGCATTGGGATGTTAGACCAATATCGTTAATATGTTGGTTGTGTTGGAGGAAACCAAGAGTAACCTGGAGAAAATCCCGACATCAAAGGGGATAAAAAAAAATCTAAATCTTTATTCACATTATGTTTCAACAAGTAGTGCTTATTAGTTTTGTAAAGAAAAGAAAACATTCACAAAAAGTACTTGGTTACTTTTCAAGGTATTATAATTAAGCGTGTTATGGTTTTGTTGGAATTAATCTTTGTTGGACTTAATCTCTAACATATTTTGCAATGGACGTACTTACAGAAGTGCTAGACACTCCATTCGCATTCTAAATGCATCTAATGAGATGTGACAATCTGGATGCTTCTGCACTTAGGCACATTTTTGGCAAACAAGAGAAACTCACCAACACCGACATAATCAAACCACTTCTTGAGTCTGTTTCAGGCTTCTACCCATGGGTGTATAGAATATAGTCTGTCTCAGGAACCTCCATTAGAATGTTTGACCAATTCTCTAAATAGTGTTTTTATATACAAGGTAAAGGTGCATCCCTGCAATTTCTTGTTCACATCATTTCTAGTGGAAATGGTCTCCACGAGAGGGAGCTCTATGGAGCCCTTCCAGTAAAATATTTAGCAAATCTTCCACACAAGCCAGACGTCTTGGAAAAGGTGGGAGTACCCAAACTTTACCCTACCACACGCAACACTGCCGATTGACTAACGGTGGTGAATCCATTTCGACTGCTGGGTGGACGGAGGTGGGGGATATTTAAGAAATCTGCCAATTATTTCAATTTCCACGCCAAAACTAGTGACCTCTGGATTGGAAATCTAATGTGCTAACCATTATAGTGTCTCCTTTCTGCTTCTTATGAGTCGAAGTAAAGGACCCCTTGGTTGTTGCGACGACGCATTTGCAATATTAAAACACGAGTGGGAAAAGTAGCGCCGCGTCATTTTTTATTCAGTTTTTTTTTCCGTGCCGTTCCTCGCGGAAGGGCTCACATCAGCCGTGGCCGATGGATTTAACTTAATCACCTGGAACAGCTCCTGATCAGTAGGCGGGCCACCTGACGTGCGCTTCCCGCGATAGAAAGAAAGAAAAAACAGAGAGCAAGTGAGAGAGCGGGAAATTCGGGGCAGGCGCATCTGGCCGACCCGCGACTGGGGATCGGGTTAATCGCTGCACGTCCCCGACGATTAGCGTGCCCCGTTTAAACGCATTAACCCCCGTGCACAGACACACACGTGTGCACGCACACACTGTGGTGGATGCTCGGGGCGACACAGGGCCGCTGAGAATGAGGCCGCTTTGCACCATGCCCAGCAGCACAGGGCGTACGTTGGCTAGGCCTTTAATTGTTGTTTTTCTTGCACTGAAATTGAACCTCCTGTTTTTTTTCATGTATATTTATAGCAGGAGTGGCTCTCATCAGAAGTGTTGGTATTGATTCATGGATCAGCAGTTTTGATGGGGTTTTTTTAATTCGAATTGTATTTTTAAATACTGAAAGGAAAATATTAAAATTGGCACATACACCTGAGAGTATGTCGACCATGGAGATGGAGTGATGACATCAGCAGGTGTGCAGGTGTTAGATGGATTGTTACTTTGCAGGACCATCAGATACGGTGATGGCTTCGGGAGGCATTCATCCAGTAGTAAACTGATCATGGGCGATAAAAAAATAACAAGAAAAACGCATAACTCAAATACTCAGTGGCCTTTATTTGTAATCAGGTGAAAGCCCGTTGAGTCAAATAAACCCTTTGCAATGGAGACCTGGGTTAATATACAAGGAAGCAATGATCACAATACAAATATTTACTGCCGAATTGAAGACATTTAAGTATTGACCAGCAGTAAAGTGAGCATTCCAAATGGGTAAAATTAAATACAGTACAAAGCAAGTTAATATTATTTTTAAAAAATATGCACAAAAGTTGTTTAATTTAAACAGCTAAGTACAATAAATTGTAATATAAACACATTTTAGTGCTTTGATTCATACTAAATGCTTTCGAAATAGCTGCTGTAGTTTATTGTAGTATTAGTTTCCAATAATAACGCAGGATTAAATGCACCGGTTGCTGCCCACTCGCGCACGTTTTTTTTATTGATAACGGGAATAACGCAACTAGTGCAGTTTTTTTTTGCTGTGTGCGAGATCCTCGGGATGTGTCTGTGCGTGCGAAATAAAACAAAAATAAGATAAGAGGCCGGAGCAGACTAAATGAGAAAATAAAACCTGCCCGCATCCTCTTGCGTATTAGACGGCTGTCTCTGTTGGTCGTTAACAGAGGGCAATGGTGAACTTCTGGCAAAAAGCACGACCGGTATCAGAGGGAGGGCGAATCAGAGAGTAGTGGTTGGTGGGATTGGGGTGGGTGGAGGGGCACAGCAGAGAGGTCTGGCGCTCTCCCACCCGCCGCTTCATTTCCATCTTGCTCGTGCTGGGACCATCTCATTTCCCTTCCCAGTGCTAACGTCTTCACATTAAATATTTTCACCGCCTCTCTGTTCCAGCTCTGCACCATCCCCTTCCACCATAACCCCCCCGTCATTTTCACACCGCCCCCCCGCAACCCACCACCTCTCTCTCTCTCCTCTACCCCCTGCACCCATACCCGCCTCGCCACCCGGTAATCGGCCCGCGGAATGGGGCACGTGCTGCTTGGAATTCGCTCCTGTTTACAGTTATCTATTAATATTCCTCGGCTCTCAACGGGAGCGCGCGGCATGCGCGGTTGATTGGGTTTGCCGCGGGGTTATTAAATTTTCATGGGGGCCCCTGCCGTAAATGGCTTTGTTTATATCCGTCACGAGATGAGAGATTTTTTATTAGCGCTTGGTCCTCCGCAAACCCATTACCAGATAAGTATCTGGTGTCAGAGCAAGGAAGGGGCTGTGGAGGAACAAGCAACTTGCTGAATGGAATTCATCGCCGCATTTTCTGTTTTTCAGTAATGTCCATCCTTTTGAAGAAATCGTAGATTAATTTTCTAAATTAAACTTTACGTTCGTTTTATATGCAGTTAATCAATGTACTGTTTATAATGGGGAGATACATCGACACGTAGCATCATACTCTATACACACGGTTGTTGTCAAATTGTTTACAAATATAAATATACGGAAAAATGGTGGAAAATTGCTTTGAAGAGTTACATAGCGCGTTCAATTAAAAGTTTCCACGGGGAACATTTAATTCACTGCCTTTGCGGTATCGTTTATTGCATTGGTTTTATTTCGTTATTTCAAATAAATATTTATTTGGCTCAATTAAATTAGGTCGGGCAGCTTGTTGAAAGGAAGTGCTGGCGGTTTAATTGATTCCTTTGGTAAAAAGGACGTCCGAGTTTGCAGCGCGGGCGGAGCATTCTTATTTTAGCCGCAACTTGTCATGTGCATGAAAAAAAAACAGTGAAAATATATTCACTATAACATTAAACTTCTGATGCAGTATTTAATAACCCCTTCATGCAAACTAGCGAGAACACACTTGACAAATGATAATCTCGTGTACCTCAGTTGTCAACAACATCCCAGCCGCCACATGCGTAAAGATTACCCCGAGACTAACTGACAGCGTATTTAATTCAACACAGTTGTTTAACCAACCACCATCTAAAATAAACTGCCTTTGCCATATTCCATATATAAACACACACACAATGGAGTTATTAGTAGTAATTTGCAATTTACCAAGGAAAGCCTTGCTGAGTCTTGAGACACTGTTTTTCTGGAAAGCTCTACTTATGATGTTTGGCCAATTAATTCATTTCCTTATTGAGTATTTTTGCACATGGGAGGAAAACAGAATATTCTGCAAACACCCCATGCGTGCGAGGAGATAGCACAGTTTAAAACTCTGTTTTTGGTAAACACTTTATTTGTATTTCTTTACACTTTTCCCCCCAGTTATGTAATCACCGTGATGTTATGAGACCGATAAATTTTCATTCAGAACTCGCAATTAGCAATGCATCACCCAATTTCAGAGAAAGGCTCTGGAATAAGACGTCACATAACTATTTCCGAGTCCCTTCAAAAGGCCTCTTATCCACGGCAAGGGCAAACTTATTATATTCCCAGCAAAGAGTGTTCATTTCACGTCAGTAAAACTGAAATGTTCAATGCTCAGAACTGGAATAAGCTAAATTAAGTGACAAACTAAATTTAATACGATGGGTAATTATTGTGCAATCTTTGGTGACCATACTGAGACCTTCAGCTCATGATACTTGAAAACCTGGTTTAATCATGTCGCTGAAACCCAGATTTAAATCCAGAATTGGTGCCAGCTCAGTGACTCTGACACGGGCATTAGTTTCCCAAGGATCCAGCCACCTACCTATGCCGTTTGTCGCTGACTTATTATTGCTATTCATATTTTTTAAGTCAAAGATTCTTCCTGCTCAGATAAGTAACGGGGTGGCATTGATTTTGTCCCTGGCCCCGAGTCAGTGGTGGAAATTCCACATTTTTCTAGTGGGGACCAGGCTCTCCATAGAACACTCATAATTGACTCACCACAAAGTGGTCCTGATTTTATTGTTGCTTGAGGAGTGATCGTCGGAATTGATAATCAGCCATGATCTTTCCACTGCTGGATGAAGGCTGTCCCAAACCGTTTGCAGCACTTACAGTCTTGCAATGCAACAATCCATCTAGTATCGGCACACGGGCTGATTTAATTGCTCCTCCTCAAAAAAACTTTTCACCTACAGGTATCTATTTTACTTACTCACATGTGTCACCAGAAAGATAATGTTTCATTTTCTTTGTCAATGTCAATGTTTCTGTTCCGTATGTCATAGTGGGTAATATGCACCACTTATACATACTGGTAAGAAGCAAAATGGCGTTATTATCATTAGAATTGTTTGCATGACTCACATTCTCTCTCTGGCAGGACCAGCTGTTCGGGCGCGACCCCACCCTGACGGAGGAGCTCGCAGCTATCTTAAGCGAGCTCACTCAGCTCAGCAAGACCACCAACTCCAAGGTTGCCCTGCGTGCCCGTCAGGTGACCATCACCACCACGACCACTCCGCGCCATCACCAGCCCTTCCACCTTCGCAGCACAAACACCCAACATAAAATGTACACGGTGACAGAATGGCAGGTGTCACCTCCTTGAATCGAACTGCGAATTGAACCGTGACCCTGAATCGTGATAATCTATCTGATCGTTTTCTTGGTTCTTTCGGTAAAGTCACGTAGAAGGGACTTTACCGAAAGAACCAAGAAGATGAATCCCTGCAGTCACGAAAGCTTTAAATCGAAATATCTGATCGTTGTAGGGTAGTGAATCATTGTATTCGAAGGTCTTCTCCATACTGCTGTCAGCTAGGACCCATTCACAGTGTGGTGGCGAGATGTTAAGTACCTCACTTGGCATACAGGAGGGTATGGGTTCGATCCCGACCCTGACGCCTGTATATTTAGAGTTTGCATGTTCTGCCTGTAGTCGCATACGATTTACTACGGGTCCTCCGGTTTTTCCCTCCACATTTAGAAACATTCGTTTTGAGTATTTGGCTGCTTTAAATGTACACATGATAAGCCACTTAATTGACCTATCATTTGTGGCCAGTTTGCTTCTGAAAAAGAGCTTTTTCGCTCAGTTGGCCTTGACTGGTAAAATAAAAAATTAAACAATGTTTAGTTTATTCCCGTTAACTCTCGATTAACCATGGGCAGATTATCCGGCTTGCAGAAGAACTGTGCTCATCCTCTGCCTTTTACGTGTGAACTGGATTTATTGTTGGTTGCTCCTCACTCATCAGGGGTTAGTGACATAGTGCCTACGTGACCGCCAACGTATTGGGACATAAACTGATTACACTTAAGAAGCAATTAAAACAGACGACACATGTCTTCGCCCCGATTCTATGTGGGTATATCATACTTGTAAATGACATCCCTTTTCCCTTAGAAAATCGAGCATTGACTATGTAACTTTGTGTTCAGTGTTTTAGAGGTGCGGTCGCATCCAAACTCACTACATCCACATTCACAATGTATCGTATCGCTCGTGGTGCTGTTTGATGGCTCACTGTTCTGTTCCCTATAGTTATTCACACGCGGCTGTGCTCACTCATTAATTAGTATCCCACCCCCCACCGTTGTTGGCCGTCCAGTTTGGCTGGTGGCCGCACTTTTGCTATTATTATTCTCTGCTATCTCATGCGTGTTTTTTTTGCTACCGGCTCCAGGATAAATGGCCCCAACACCCTTCGCGTTCGTTTACCCCACCGCTACCTCCCCTGACCCGATTAAAACAAAAATCTATCGGTGCACCTTGTGTATACCCTCCAGCCTCTTGTTCTTGTTTAATTGCTTCTCGACGCCGTGCTAACGCCAGTGGTGTATTTCGCCCTTCAGAGTAACGCATTCATTTCGAGTCAATATAAATGCTACGCTTGCAATATTAGATGTAATATAACGGATAGGTGACCTTTATTTATAACCGGGTGAGAGCCCTTATTTATAGCTAGGTAATAACCATGCGGGGGGCTTGCACTGGTTGCATAGTGGATGGCCTGCTGCAATGTGAAGCTGGCAACCTGAGTTTGATGCATGGCCTTGGCTAAACGTTGGTGGCGAGTGATATTGAACCGAATTTTGGGTCCAACCTGCACTGACCAGAGTGGTGAAGTATGGTCAAACAACCCCCATTACTGACATGGCATGAAGAGGCCTTCATCCAGCAGTGTATTGAAAACATGGATTTATGTGTACATGTTCCCAAATGTCTAGTTCAGATATCACTCACCTCTTGCCACTCACTGATGTTAGCCCATTCTGAGTTCATAGTGCGCTGTGTCCTACATGCTTTGCCACCGCTCAGCTACCACTAAATATTTTTGTAATGTCAATCTTAAAAAAATTCGCAATTTTTTTTTATAACTTAAAATTAAAATTTAAAAGCATTTATTCCACAATGTACACATGGACAATGCATCACTGCTGATGTATGTGTTGTTTAGGTGCTCATAGCTTCCAATCTGCCCTCGTACGAGCTTCGGCACAATCAGGTGGAGTCAATCTTCCTCTCGGCCATCGACATGTTTGGGCATCAGTTCTGTCCTGAGAACCTGCAGGTGAGCATCTGTGCAGTACATCGTCATAGCGGTTAGAAATCTGTACTGAAATGACTCATCTCCAACATAAGTTGCAACGTCGTTTTCAATAATTAGTGTCGTCAGCATCATCATCATCATTGCCATTATTGTTTTTGTCGTCAACCTCATTATAATCAATGTCTTTAATTATTGACATCATCATCATCATTATCTTCATTGTAGTTATCATCATTAATATCATCCATGTACCAACTCTTGCTTTGCAGCAGTTTAGCTCGAAAAGAGTCTCTGCATACAACTCTGAATCTTAGCCATTGAATCAAAGACCTTCAGGGAAGGACAGTGTGGGAATTTATGAAACGGTGGGTAAGTCTCCAACTTTGGCCATTAAATATAATGCCCTTTATCTTACCTATTGAAACTAATGTTGGGCATGTAAAAATAATAACGGAAGTAAAATTTCACAGGGAAAAAAAAGACAAGAGTGCCTTTGTAGATTTATGTTGACCCCGCTGCTAATTTCCAGCAGCGCTATGATTCTCGCTGTATTTATGAGCAGTGTATAAGGGGAGCTGCCCGCTGTATTGAGTGTCTGCAATGGCACTCAAACACCTTTTAGGTGACAGCTGTTATTACACACAGGCAGTGACCAATGTGTATTAAGAATGTCCAGAATGGTCTGTACCAAAGTGGTAGCTTTGACAGCTAATAACTCGAAAATGACTGCAGATAAAACGACAACAGTTTCTGTAGTACGCCAACATTTGTCAGATGTTTAAATGTGGCGAATTTGAGCCAAAGATGTCAAGGAGGTATTTTTCTTGTCCTTTTCATCTCCCTTTAAAAAATATATTTTTTGTACAACTCAGTACGGACTAAACTGTGCAGTTATTATCGGTCTTGGCCTTGCCATAGGAATTGGATCTTTGATTGACACTGTTATTAAACCCGCATAACTCAAGTGCTTAGGCATTAAAAGAAAGTAAAAAAATACAGGGAAAAAAATGTCTATGCCGGTCAGTCCTGGCGTCTCTAATGTTTACGTGAGTGACAGTGCAGTAAGTGTTTATTGTAAATATTTGACGTAACATTATAACACATTGATATTCAGGAATTTTAAAGAAGGTCTTTATTCCACTCAGTTAAAGTATCCCATGGATTTACAGCATCAAATGTCATCGTGGACCCAGTTACATCGCATTGCCATTATTGTCTTAAATGGCAACGGGGTTTTATGTTGTATTGGAATTGAATATTGTATTAATCAGAACATGCAGCCTCTCAGACATCACAACCAAAAGGCATTCCAGATTTTTCTGGTTCAGAAACCTTCAGAGAAAAGCAAAGGACATCTCTGTTTTTATCAGAATCAGAATCTTTATACTGGAAGAATCCGCTGAGCTATGAAGCTTTTTTCCACAGATGTCCAGTATGGGCGGGTCAAAAATGTACAACAAACAATACAAAAACAGATTGGAGTGCAAATTATAGGAAAGCTAAGAAAGTCACTAAATATGAATACAAATAGAATATAAAGCACAAATTGTTAAGTACAACTATGAAAATAAAATAAAACTCTAAACTTAAATAAAGAACAACTAAATGCATTTAGGATTGAATGATTTGCTAATCTGCAGCGTATGATTACAGGTTGTGTGCATGTGTATATTAAATATACTCAAACTTAATTTGGAGCTTTCGTGACTGCAGGAATTATTCTTTGGTTCTTTCGGTAAAGTCACGTATAAAGATAAAATAATAAATGAAATTAAATACTAGCATACTAGTATTAATTTAATTTATTATTTTTTTATACGTGACTTTACCGAAAGAAGCAAAGAATTAAATATACTCTTTGTACTTTGGGAGAACGCTTCCTCTCAGAACCCTTTATCAACCTTCACACAATGGTAGAGTTTTCCTTCTTTCCTGCTGCCTCGAGTTCAAAACCAACCCCCCCCCCCCCCCCGACCACTGGTGCTGCCGACCCCATTCCCCTGTTCAAGTCCAAGCACAAAATCTTCCTTATCCCTTTTTTTCCCTCTGACCTCCCATCTATAAAGTGCATCTGATTTTAAAAATGTATATATATACTGTATCTCACCACGTTTTTCGCGATTCCTTGTGATGCACATGATCCATTCTTGTCCATCGTTTTGACATGCAGCCGCATTTCGGCGCTATATAAACCAATATCGTATTCTACTCTACACTGTGACATGCATAATACATTTATGGAATGGGTTTTCATTTGTAGTTAATATGCATCGCTTGATTGGTAAACCCGCATTAAACAAATTGAACTCAGCCCAACACAATTTTACCTTAGTGCTCCATTGTTAAATGTATTTTTTTTTCTCCATATTCTTCTCTCTCCCCCTCGTTGTGTATTGAACGCAGATTTTAAAACTGCACTATCACTTGGTTTGCAAATGTGCTGAGCTCGCCACAAACAGCGAAAGGTGTATTCTAATTTTAATTAATGCAAATTCTGTTGCCGCGTCGATGTGACCGGAAACCCCAAGTGTAATGCCCAACTGGTTAGGCAACTACATCCCGTTATGGTCAAAGTGATGGTCAGTGCAACTGTATAATTCTAGATTTGAAGTTTTCGTGACTGCAAGGATCCATACTCTTTGGTTCTTTCGGTAAAGTCACGTAGATGAAAAATATAAAATTATAAAATGTAGTTTCATTTTATTACTTATTATTATTATTTATATTTTTCATCTACGTGACTTTACCCAAAGAACAACTGGATAATATTCAACCAAATGTTTGTGAGTAATTAGAGTAAAATAAAAATTATGTTTTTTTCCCTTCACAACCTATAGAGTTATTTTGACAATGCATTAAGAGGTCGCTTAAATAGAGGTAAATTCAAAGTGAGCAACGGTCACTTTTTAAAATGTCTGTGAAAGGGTTGTTTGATATAAATAGACCATTGGTTATAAATGGAGGCTGATTTAAGTAGGTTTTCGATTAAATAGAACGTTGGTTGGTTTAAGTAGATCTCCATGAAAGTAAATGTTGGTAAATATACGTATATCTGCGATGAAAGTGAATGTCGTTTTAATTAAGCAGATCTCATCTTCTTGGTTCTTTCGGTAAAGTCACGTAGAAGGAAAATAATAAAAATAAAATATAATAAAATAATTCTCACGACGTTTCGGCCACAACGCAAGCAGCCGTCTTTAGGTGGAGAACAGGTCTGTCGAGAGACTCTGTCTGAGAATTATTTTATTATGTTATATTTTTATTATTTTATTATTTTCCTTCTACGTGACTTTACCGAAAGAACCAAGAAGATGAATCCCTGCAGTCACGAAAGCTTTAAATCGAAATTTAAGCAGATCTCGATGAAAATGAATGTGACTTTCAGTCCTAATCGATGGCTTTCATTGAGAATGACTTAAGGTCAACATGAGTCAACTTAAATGGATCTCGATGAATGGGAATGGTCCATTTGAATGCAAGTGATGGCCAATTAGAGCAGATCCCAATTGGAAGTGAATAGTGAACCACATAAGTAGATCTCCATTGAAGCGAGGGAGTGATTGATATAAGTAATGGTCAGTGAAAGTGAATATCATTAAGCGAAATGAAGTCGAACAGGTCCAGCTTTTCTGGTTTCGACCTACTCAACTCACCAGGTCAGTCCACATTATACCCATTCAAGGCTACATGCACCCCAGGTGGCGCTGTTTGCCCGCTTTTGTCCGCTGGCTGCAAGTGGACGCTAAATCATCATTACCACAGTTGCAGCATTCGTTTAAGCGTGTATGATAAGTATGATTATTTACGAAAGTCCTGCACATGCAAGTCATCAAGGCTGGGTTTTATCTCTAGCACGCAGCCACCCCATGCAACTCGCGACCTGGTGGTGGGCGGTGGGGTGGGGGGGTAGGGAAGGGACATTAATTCTAGATTTGAAGCTTTCGTGACTGCAATGATTCATATTCTTAGGTTTTTTCGGTAAAGTCACGTAGGTAAAACATCAAAATTAATAAAAATAAAATAAAACAAAAAATCACGACGTGTTGCCTCCGAAACGTCGTGATTTTTTGTTTTATTTTATTTGTATTAATTTTGATGTTTTACCTACGTGACTTTACCGAAAAAACCTAAGAATAGGGAAGGGACGTTAAATTATTTTATTTGGAACGCTTAATTGACGGCGCTGGTAGTTTTAGAGTGAGCTCCGTGGGTGTGTGCGTGTGCGTCCTCAGGGTTTTTTTTTATCGCCTGCCATTATCAATATTTAAATAGATCAATTGATAAATCAATGCAGGTTTTTCAACCAGGTGAGAGTCCATTAGGAGACTGTGTCTCGTCTGCAGCGAAGATCTGAGAGAATATAAAACGTGTTCGGGGAGGAGATGCACTAAACACAGAGAGATGAACGTAAACGCTGTGAAAGATGTACAGTGATCCCTCGTTTATCGCGGTTAATGGGGACCGGAACCCCTCGCGATAGGTGAAAATCCGCGAAGTAGGATTGGCCCCCTAGGAATTTTTGTATATGTGTGTGTGTGGGTACCAGAATGTTTAAAATATGTATATTTATACTTTATATATATATTTGACTTAAATCTATATAATTATAAAACCTTAATATAATACATTCACTCTCTCTCTCTCATACGATACGTATTATGGTGTTCTACACTCACCAATGACAGTAGTATCTTGAGACTTGACTCCAGTAATGACGACGACGACGATGACAATGACGATGACAATGACGACGATGACAGACCTGTGCAGTTCGATGAATGTGATGATGAATGATGATGATGGTGTTACTGCACAGGTATAATGAGGCCTTTAAATCAGTTTGAAAAATCCGCGATGCACTGAGGCCGCGAAACTTGAACCGCGAAGTGGCGAGGGATTACTGTAATTGAAATAATGAATGTGTGTTGAATAACAAAAGAGATGATGACTTCAAAAAGATTTGTGCAATATAATATTATACAGTTGAAAGTAACATAAATGACGATGCTTAAGCAATGAAATCATAGTGATATAATAAACAACACAATAATTATCAATTAAAATACAATACCTTTCATAGTTTATTGTAACCTATATCACTGTACTTGGAATTATTATGTTTGATAGGGATATGATCCCACCTCCCCCCCCCCCCCCCCCCCTTGACGATGAAATTGATTTGATTCAGGAATATTTTCTTTTTGTGAACATTGTTGTGAATGTAGCAGGGTACCCTGGTGGCTTTAGGAGTTTTAAGTGAACCCATTCTATGTAACATACATGGATGTGTATAGCCCGTTTTTCAGTCACCTGCTGGATCAGTGGCAGGGAGTGGAGGGAGGAAAACAGTGGAATTTGATTCACTGCCCTCTACTGCCCACAACACCTACTATACCTAGTTTTATGGGTGACGGTCACCCATCTAACCACTATCTAGACTCAAACCTGCTTAGCTTCTGAGGTCTATTGGGATGTGGCACATTCTGGATGATTTGGTTATATGTGCAATACATACAAATATAAAAAAACACCAATTGGCCTACACACATAGAATTATTCGATCCATGTATTGGGAGTTTAAGAATCAATATTACATCAATAAATTAATACATTGCTACTTATTCTTGGTTCTTTCTGTCAAGTCACGTAGAAGGGAAATAATAAAATAATAAAAATAAAGCAACAAAATTATTGTTTTGTTTTTTATAATTGAATTGGAAATTTATTATTATTTTATTATTTCCCTTCTACGTGACTTTACCGAAAAAACCAAGAATATGAATCCCTGCAGTCACGAAAGCTTTAAATCGAAACATTGCTACTTCCCAAATGTTTGTTATGCAAATAGATAATACCGCAGTAAAATTACTATACAAATCAAGGAGCTTGTTTTTATTCAGAAAGTTGTCTTGCACTCATGAGGTTTACATCAGTATTGGAGTAGTTCCTGTGCCTTTCATGTAAATTGTCGTTAAGAAGATGTTGGTGAAAGCGCTGTGTGAATGTGCTATCTTTTTTGCGACTGCCACTTGTGTTGTTTGTCAACTGCTGGAGACTTGAGAAAATACGTAAAATCCATCTCTGATGTCAAAGCTGTTGCGCGGTCGTGTGCTTAGGTACCACTTGTGCCGTACAGCTCGTTCCAACTTCAGTGGTCGTAGGATATTAATATTTCTGTTGTAGGAATAATCTCATTTGTTTACCTGAGAATGTCTCACTGAGTCACAACGCTGTATTCCAGGAGTTTCCTGTATCAGGATGAGGCATTCCCACGACACGAATGAGAGCATAACACTCAACATGTATAATCACTCATTTATTCGTCTGAAAACATCTTAATGTTCAGAGGACGGTAGAACTTGAGTAATTGTTGGTGCCGTCTCACCACCTGGCTGTTACCTTCTTGCTTGTCAGGCACAGATGAACTACGCTATATAAAACTAAATATTATTATAAACATCTACAGAGATGGGTTCAGGAACCAAGTTTCTGTATTGCTATCTCCTGGCCATATTGCAGCCTGGTGATTTTTGGAGTTTCTCAAATATGCATGAGCCACCAACCCATACCTCCGAAGTGATATATTGTAAGCACCACAACAGTGGTGTTTTTATATAGTTACCTCAATTATCCGTCTGTTATTATTGCTTCTTAAAGTAACCGGTTTACTTGCCCACGTGTTTTCAATCACATCGGCACTGATTCCATGGACCCTCGAAGAGTGAGGAGCAGTGAAAAATCAAGCACTTGCTTAAATATATGTTCCGAGATATTTTGCAAGTACGGTTAAAATGGGCAACCCAGATAAATTTACCCACTGATAATCGAGAGTTAGCTGTGCATTCAAATGAGGGACTACACCTCAGGCAAGTGATGTTGTATTCCGGAGGTGTACCGTGAGCAAGCCTTTTTAAATCCTTTATATTAAGTTCACTTGCTTGCTTGCTTGCGCGCTTACGACCGTGCAAATCTTTCGGTCGTTTTTTAACCCACTTCCCGTGATCCAATCGAGCTGACATTTTGCACACAGACTCGTTGTGCGTGACAATTTATTTTCGTGAAAATTTTTTTCCCCAAATTTTCCACTTTTTAGGAATTTTTTTAAAAATTTAATTTAAAATACCAATGTGATAAAAATGAAACTCTTACTCAAGAAAAACAGAAATGAATAATAAAATAAAACCTGATGCCACGCTTATAAAGGATTTATAGTGAAAAACTTTGTTTTTACGGGTTAATTTTTTACTAATCTCCTGTACAGGTGGCGTCTCGTAAAATGAAGACCCTCTGGGCCAGCCAGTGGCCATTGTACACGTGTATGATCCCCTACGGCCAGTTGGTCCCCGTCGGTCAATGAGGGTGGAATGGATGTGGAAATAGGATGTCCTGCCTAATTCTCGCTGCAGAAACTCATCATTTCGGAGACATCGATCTTTGATGTGCTTCCCAACTTCTTCTACCACAGCAACCAGATCGTGAGGATGGCTGCAGTTAGAGGTAAGAAAGCCCTCTTGGCGGGGGGGGGGGGGGCATAATGATGAAAATGTGAAGATGTTGTGCAGCGTTGTCATTGCCCAGTGCACAGATATATTGGCAACATGGGGAATCTTTTTTAGTGAATTATAGTCATATCAGATTTTTAAGAAAGTGACCAGAAATATCTTCTTGGTTCTTTCGGTAAAGTCACGTAGAAGGGAAATAATAAAATTAAAACATAATAAAATAATTCTCACGACGTTTCGGCCACAACGCAAGCAGCCGTCCTCAGGTGAAGAACAGGTCTGTCGGAAAGACAGCTTCTGAATGAAACACCACCAGGCTTGGAGCGTATATTTAAGCTGGGTTGGAGGGGGAAGAGTGCCTTGACAAAATTTTATTATTTCCCTTCTACGTGACTTTACCGAAAGAACCAAGAAGATGAATCCCTGCAGTCACGAAAGCTTTAAATCGAAATTTGACCAGAAATTATTTCAGTAAGTCTCTATGGCAGGGAATGGAGGTTGATCGAATACATCTCTATAAAGGTAAATGCAGGTAGACTTTATAGATCTTTATGACATTAATTCGAGGTCACATTAACAGATATGTGAAACTGAACAGAGGCAGCCATAATAGATCTCCAGTTAAGTGAATGTAGTTCACTGCTGTTAACAAATGTCTCTGAAAGTAATGGAGCTTACTCGAATAGGTCTCTTTAAATGAACAGCTTTTGATTTAATCTATTAGACAGAATGGCCATCTCTTGAGTATACAGTTCTATCTCTACAGAGTCAATGGCAGCTGATTAACACACAACACAAGTTTAGCAGTTTTGCATCTTTTCTCCCCTATCTACAACACCCCGTCACCAGTGAGTAACCCTCTCATGCTTGTGTACATGCGTAACCCACCTGGGCTCCCCACTGTGCTGCTTCTGCCATTCATCTCGGTCAGTTAACCCGCAACGCCGGGGCCCTGTTCTGTAACCCCCTGCCAGCAAACCTTTGAGAGTTCACCTGGCCTCAAATTACCTAATTTGGCACAAGCATGCGTACATGTGTGTCCGCGTGTCTTTGTATGCGCATAGTGTAGAGCGGTTAGCACGGTGTGCAACTAATCCGGCGACCCAAGTTCGATTCCCGCTCCACCGAGTCGATGTGAGACCCTTCGTCCGATGTTGTCAGTTGTGTCAATTTAAATACTCGAGTCCCATCGTCCAATTGTACGTGTGTGTTGTGTGTGTCTGTGTTTATAAACACAGTCACAGTCCGATTGTACGGGTATGTCTATGTGTTCTCGCTCACGGCCAACACCAGTGACGATTATCTGAACTGGTCCTGGGCCTCACCTAGGGCGACTTGGCCTCAAATGAGTACCTGGTGCAATGTGTAAACATCGTCACTGGGGGGACAAAGGCGACAGGGCATGGTGCTGGCTTCGTGTGCCTTGCCCAGCTTTCATAGGTGGTCGCTAACAGCACTTGCCGTACAGTCTATTAAGGCTATACGGGTGATCTTTGTCTTCTTGTCTTTGCACGTGTGCCCACCTAGGTGTACGTGCGGAGAGCGTACATTGCGTACGAGCTTAACAGCCTGCAGCACCAGCAGTTCAGGGACGGCACCTGCATCGTCGAGTTCCAGTTCATGCTGCCCTCCTCCCATCCCAACAGGTTGTAGCGCTGCTTTCGCCCTCTCCTCGCGCCCCTGATCGGATCCGTTTGTGTCTCCAGCTTCGATCCCTTCAAAGAAACCTCTTTCTGTTCCTCATCCTTTTCTGTGTCTACTCCACATTGCACTTCCCAGCATCCAAGTCCACTATAGTCTTGTAATTCTGTGTTTGTATCCCCTTTTCACCCCTTTGTTGAAACATACTCTCCTTCTGATGCTTCTGTGTCAGATCCCTATTTCACCTGATTTTCTGCTGATTTTCAGTAGAAGAAATTCCAAACTGCACTGAATATCGACACTTTTTTTAAAAATAGGCACATTATAAATGCTTCTCTGTTTATATTTTGCAGAAGTTATTCTCGTAATGCATAGTTTGCTTTTGAGTAATTTTACAAGTATAAACAAAAAATACATAAAACACAGTTCAGTGCGTTGCAGATCTTCTTATTCCTCTTCGGCGTATATATGTAAACGTATATACATAGATAGGGGCGCACACGGCTTACCGCGTCAAGCAGTCGAGCGGCCAGGTCGAATCACGCCCATTTATCTCCCTCTGTCGACCCATCTCTGTGCCTTCTCCTCCCGCACCCTCGAGTCTCAGCCACCTTGCTGCTCCCTCGGCTGCAGATCCGTTGCTCTGTTAATCAAGCAATCGACCGGTGTGCATTCCCTTTCGGTTGGGCTCATTCGTTCCTACGTCCTGCACGTCTGCTCGTCCGCTCCGTTATCTTGTCTGCCGCTAAACCGTCGCGCTATTGGCATTTTTTGGTCCACCTTCCCGTGTTGATCATTTTTCTTTTTTTTGTGTGTGTGTTTCTTTTTGTTGTTGTTGAGGGTTTATGCGCTGCAGGCTGCTAGGCTTTGTTAGTATGCAAGTGTATAGATCTTAGTGTTAAAGGTCGTGGGAATTTATTTGTCCATATTCCATGGTTGGTGAAAGGTGGGAGCATTAAAGTGCAGTACAACATTTTTATTTTGCTCTACTGCTGTCTGCTGACCACCATGGAGCCACTCCACAGCTGCCCGATGATGAGCTGGCGTGCATGGTGGTCACTCACCTCTGGTATTTATTTAATATAAATTTTCGCCATTTTTCATGCGTCCACGATTAAGACCTCACCTCCCGTGTAATAAAAGAGGGTTTTACTGAATGGGGTTAGTGGTTTGACAATAATTGTTCATTGTTACCTTCAAGGTTCCTTATCAGGAGGTTAATGCTGTAAGATATTTGATAAATTTTTTTTTTTTGTATACAGAAAACCCATGCAACATAGGGGAATAGTTCTCAAATTCCACACAGTTTAAAAAAAATACTTTGTCTCCTACAGTCAGACACAACCTCATTGCCCCCCATTCAGAAGTGTTCCTCACAAATAAGTTATGGCACCGTCTATGCGTGGTCCACCAACCTCCCCACATATAAAATGAACGGACATGTTAACCAACCCCCCCCCCCCCGTACGCTGAAGCCACCTTAATCAACAAGCTAACGACGGTGGGGCCGGTGCGTGGGCAACCGGAGGCACGCGGAGTAGTTAGCGGCGGGCAGTGCTGATGATGAGACGGAGATTGAGAGCAGCAGCCGAGGCCCTTGATAAGCCTCCGCGGAGATGCTGCCGTCGCTTTTATAGCACGCGGGGTTCCTCCGTGTATACCTGCGGCTTTAATTACTGCGCTATGATTCATGGCCGCTTTGAAGCCATGTAACAGTGGGGGTTTTTTGGCGGTACGGCATAGAGAAAGGGGGGTGGGAGGGTCGGTGGTGGAGGGGCCAGCTTGGCTCTGCTGTTCGTTGGTATTGGTTAGGAGGGCGGGCATGCATTGGTAGGCGTTGCGAATAATAGTGTGAGGATCTCCTTACTTTCATCCTTTTATCTTCCTTTAAACCGCATCCTTCTCATCTGCCTTCCTCCCTGTCCCTGCAACCACTTCCTTCCCTCCCCGCATCGCATGGTGTCTGCTCAATATCGGCCTGTCAAGCTGTGATGGTTGCACGGCACACACTTGGCTTGGCACGCCACACTTGCCCTATTCCTCTCTCTCTCTCCCGCCCTTGTGTCCGTCCGTTCGTACGTTTTTCTGTCCGCCAGCTTTCCCGCCTGTCTGTCGTTTCTCCTCTTGATTGATGACGGGTGGGACTCAGGAGTTCCGTCTTTAAGTCCCCGCAATTCAGATCACAGATCAACGCCTGACTCTGCCGCAGGCTCTGGTGGGACGCTCTTGCCGGCAGGTGTCCCAGGGCCTGACGTCGTGAAAAAAATTGAAATTTTTTTTTTTAATTCTGAGCCAAAAGTAGATTTTTTTTTTTGCCTCTCTACACCCCTATCCCCGCTGTGTGCCAACGTGTCTTGTATTTTTCAAATAAAGGGAGAGAAAGGGGTAAAAAGACGCACCACGGGGCTCTTCAACTAATGCAAACCACATACAGTCATTTGTTACAGTAATGTGCATAGTTCATTTTCTGCCCTGTTGGACGCTTTACAGTACTTGCGCTGCATTTTTAATCTCACCCCCCCCCCCCCACTCCTTCTATGCTTATTTCCATATTGATCGTATGTTCAGAAATCCGTGCGCTGAGTGAACAAGTGCGTGCATACGCATATATGTGTGTGTATGCGTCTGTGAACTTGAATGAAGCGGTAGCACAGTGATTAGTGCACTGAGCTACAAGGCCGGAGAACCGAGTTCCATTCCTTCCAATGCCTAACATAGGTGGCGAGTTATTTGTGAACCGTTTAGCTTACCAATAACAACATGAATCTGTCCCTTTGCCTACTGTAAAGTAAGTCTTCACTATTTCATGTCACTTCACAATGCACTTAGTCTGGCACCAGCTCCCTTGCCCTTACTTTGTGATAAATACGAGCTGTGTGTGTTGCGTGTATATTTTGGTTACATGTTTTTTGTGTCAATGTGGGGAGTGGTAGCGTCATGGTTAGCATACTGTGCTACAAACTCGGTGACTTGGGTTCGATTCCTGACCGTGGCTAACATCAGTAGTGGTTATTTAAACCGATCCTGGGCCTCCCCTTGGGTGTAAACATCAGAACTTGTGAGACAAAGGTGGCTGGGCATGGTGCTAACCACCAGAGGTGGGACAAAGTCATTGTTATGCAAGTCCAAGTCGAGTCTGAAGTCATCAAATTCATGACTCGAGTCTGACTCGAGTCCAAGTCACATGACTCGAGTCCACACCTCAGAGGTGGGACAAAGTCATTGTTATGCAAGTCCAAGTCGAGTCTGAAGTCATCAAATTCATGACTCGAGTCTGACTCGAGTCCAAGTCACATGACTCGAGTCCACACCTCTGCTAACCACAGCAACCTCGTTTGTGGCATACTGGCCTTATTAAGTGCTCACAAACAACATTTGTCCAAACAGTCTGTTAAAGGCTATACAGGGGATCTTTGTATTTGTTAGAGTATGTATATATGTTCATGTGTGTGTCTATGTGTGTTCGGATGAGTGAGTGTATTGATTAGTGAGTGCATATATGTATTCGAGAGTATGAGTGTATCTGTGTGTAAATGCAGAACGCTGTGTAAAAATGCAGCGCATGGCAATTCCAGTTTCATTTGAAAAAAAGTTCGGAAAATTTGTCTCGCTCACTTATTTTTTATATATTTTGATATTTTTTCAGCAAGCTGCTATTAACAGGTGCCTTCTGGCCATCATTAGTTACTCATTTAAAACTCAGCACAAGTTTTTTTTTTTAATGCTTCATCTCCTTCCAAAAATACAATATGAGATTCAGACCTCCCCTGCGGTGAAGGCATCACTAATAATGCTCGATTTGAATGAACAGCTTCAAAATCATTCAAACAAATCACCTTCCTCTCCCTGAAAACATATTTCTTTAATACACTTTGCCTTTGCTACTCTCTCCGCTGCGAGATAAGCTGCACGTATATTTATTTGACGCTGCAATTGTATTGTCATGAGCCAAAATATTTATCTAAAATATCTCCCATCTCTCATATTTTTGTTTCGCCTGATGCATTGCGTGCGGTAAATTCCGCCTAACGCTGTTGTCACTGCAGCGGATGCAACATTACTAATGCGCAAAAAATGTGTGCGTATGTGTGTATGAAAAAGCATGTGTGATCTGTTCACCTATTGCTAAATATTAATTCTTGAGGTCGCTCAGCAGGAGAGGCAGCGGCTCGCAATCGGAAGGTTGTGAGTTTCAAATCTTGTTTGTGGAATTGACTCAGACCATTATCCCTCCAGGTTGATAAAATGAGTATTTCTTTCTAGGGCAAGTCAAGAGTTTGTTGTCCTATGGATAGACTTACCTCCACCATGGGAATGTGGAATTTACACCACTGGCTCAGGGCTGTACACAGGATTTTAGCACCACCTCAATGCTCATTAGTGCAGGAAAGCACTTTTTTTCTTAATAACATTGCAGCTATTGACAGTGTCACCTCTGAGTAGTTGAGTGACCCCCCCCCCCCCCCTCCAAACAGCCACCTACTTACTCAGCTGTTGGACATCGTTATCCTTTTGTGGTAGTAACGTCCCCGGGGCCTCAATGCATGACAGGTTAACAATAACCCACACGGCGTTGATTGCCTTTGGAATTGTGGCCACTTACAATAATGGATTAATGAGGCGACGTATTGTTATGTTATGCATGGTGTAATTGTCAGTGAAATGTGCGCGTGCGTGTCACGGATTGTGGACACTTGGCACCCGTGCAAATGGTGGCGCCAGACGCGGTGTGTTTGCGATGATGTGTCCGGCAGGGTTGGGGGAAGGGGATCAGAGGGGCGAGTGGGAAAGGGGAGGAGGGGAGGGGGGGGCTGTTTTCTCGGGGGGCATGGTGGCCTCAGCTGCAGGGCAAGCGGCATTTCTTTAGAAACAAAGTCAAACCTTGGCTCTTGGCGATAACACACGTACACAGGGAGAAAATAACCCCAATGAGAAATACAGTATTACAAAGGGGCTTACACACACCTGTACACACACACACGCATCACGTACATGCACGTACACACATTCAAATTCATTTGTGTTTTTCAATGCGTTAATATGAAATTGTGCGCAGGCATTGCTCTGGCCCTCGATGTGCGCCCGGCAGATAGAGCTGGGCCAGAGCGCCAGGCGTATCTGAATTTTCGGCTGAAAAAATGTAATCAACTATTTGCAATTTCAGCTCTGCGAATTGAATGGGGGGGTTGGGGGGGGGGTGTTGGGTGGGGGAGATGTTAACACGATGACGGAGGTGCGAGCCTAGGAATTTCTGTGGCATGAAGTCCCACAAGGCATGGCCCCAACATTCCTCCACGTAATGACACGTTATGTTAATTGATGAATCAAATTCTCCATTTCGGTATTTGTGATGTGTGCGAATCGAAAGGGGGCATGCTTGCCTCTGAGGCCAATGACCTTCGGGTCACACACACACACGAAAAAATCACGCTGTTCCAGTGTCACTGAAGGTGCCATTCCACAACAGGCAGGTTAAGGCAGGCGGTGACCTTGTGGCTGCATTTGCACACGTGACAAATATTATATACATGCACCAAAATGTTTACGTGGATTAACTGAACGCCTGTCACTTTCATAAAGATGTGATAATCAGAATCTGTATTTATCCTGGAGAAATCCGAAGAATTATGTAGGGGCAAGTCAGAATTAAAGTTTCATAGAGTTATATTAAAATGATGAATATTAATTTTCACGTGATGTCTATTAAATAAATTGACATTCAATTTCATCGAGATCCGTTAATTAAAGTGATTTACATTAACTTTCATCGAGCTATAGTAAAGCTATTGAAATTCTTTGTCATAGAGTTCTATTAAAACGGCTGCAATTCACATTCTCTGAGGTGTCTTTAAGTGATTGATATTCTTTTCCACTGTATTGCAGTGACCTCCATTGCATTCCAACGCGTTTCTATATTGCCGTGGGTATTTGCAGTAAAAGGAACACAATAGAAGGTTATGGAGGGCATTTTAATAGAGCTCTATGAAAGTGAACGGCGGTCGGTTTAACTGCGTCAAATTTAACACTTTTTGCAGATTTCTACCTCCTTATAGCACCACCTGTCTTACTAATCACATTCCTACACGATCATTGTCTCCTTGTGAAACCTTCTCTGTTCTCTCTGTACTTCTCCCCAGAGAAACAAACGCACTCAATGATTCATACGTGCGTTGTTTTTAACAGTCAGCACTAATCACTAGCCTCACCCAGCAGGTGATTGAACAAAAGCAAAAGGGCTGTACGTGCACGTGCACGGCAACAGTTGGGTGGCACGATGTCGGAGGCCAGAGTCTTCTGCAAACGGTTATGTCCAGCGATGTGCGGCGCTAGCTGTTTGAGCGAGGACCACAGTGGAGCGATAAGACACGCGAGTTGCGCCGCTGCTGATGCCACCCGTCTCGGCACTCGCGATTGGTGCCCGTCGCTGCCGTCGACGCGTACCGAATCCACGTGTTGCGTACTTGCCAACCATGCCTATTGAGGCGGTAGGCTGCTGGATTTCAGATTTTTCGAAGCTACTCAATCGCTTTGCGAGATATTTGTAAAAAAATTATGTCGACGTAATATTCCTTCAATATATGCAGTAAAAGAGGGTTTTAAAATTGGGTGGTCGCTGCTTAGTTTGGCAGGGTTGGCAAGTATGGTGTTGTACTAACACCCACTAATCGTGATCCATCTCCTCTCTTAATTGATTGCAGGGGCAGCATACCCACACTGAACAGGTACGACAGGAAGCAGACCAGACGTACAGTGGGACCTTCTTAATCGCACCTTGTATGGGAACGAATGAAATAACATTATTGCAGTTACTCAACTATCTATGCTTGACTATGGCATCTGAAATGTTGTGTATGAATAAAGCTTGGAATTTTGTTTTCAATTCGATCATAAGCAAAACGTCTTATAACCAGGTGATGGTTAAGAGGGTTCCATTGTTTTAAATGTATGTTTTTGCATATACCAGTTGACGCACAGCCAGAGTATTGCTATCCTCATGCAGGGGCTTTGCAAACTCTATTCATCGCGTCCCACATTGGTCAGTCCAGGTTTACATGTTTACCAGTGTCTGCTATCCACACGTACATGTTTAAATCGATGTGCACTGCATCGTGTCTTAACGGTTGGTAATCATGGAAACCTGGAATTGTGGTGGAGTGTGTGAAGTCTGGAGTTTTTAAAATCCTGCCCTAACAGCTTCGAAGTTTTGCTTTTCATTCTCATTTTCATGCATAACATCTGGCCAGATGTTTAAATAAAAAAGCTAACCTGTAAACAATTGGCATTGTTCATTCGATGGCTACCGACACGCTCAGGCTGATCACCATTGAACCTTTGAATTCAGTGGTGATCAGTTGGAGCGTGTTGGTGACCACCTTTGAAAACCAGATTTAACATAAGTACTACAAAATATGTTTTATTACAATAAAACACTTGATTAACAATATGTATACATGCTGGCCGGGTGTGCGATCTTCATCCAGTATGGACATTCCGAAAGGAAATCCTTGGTGAGATCAGTTTTGTTTGGTCGTACACTTGACCACTTGCTTGTCAAGATGTTTGATAGTCAGCCACTAAATCGCTGAGCGAATGTTTAACGAATCGTGCGGTGAAAAAGTGCTTTGTCAAAAGTTTGCTTTCCATCTTTTGGTGCCGTTATGAACACCGATCCATTTTCCCATCCAGCCAAATGCTCTACGTGCATCATTTTTTTTGCGCTTCTGCAAAGTGACCTTTTCTGTGTTGTTTGTGTCACTGGTGGGATGTTTTTCGTGGTGGTGATGGTAGTGGGATTTTTTTAACGGTTTTAATGTTGCAAAATGTTGGTGCTTTATTTTAAATCAGGACTCCCGTCCCCCCGGCTTTATTAGGATTAATTTGATGTGTTCCGTGCACTTTGTCCCGCCGCGTATGTCTTACCGAAGGCTTATTAACGTGTCCCGTGCAAGTGTCTTCGTTTGGTTCTCTCGAGCGTTGCCGCCTAATTTAAAAAAATTGCGTGTCACTAGAAAAAAAATACCGTCACCGTGTACGGTGACTTAAGGAGTATACTTTTTTATTTTCAACGAAAACATCCTAAACTTAGATAGATGTAAGAACAACAATTGTAAATGTGTAATGAAGATTCATTTGAACGTTATCCAACTGGAAGAGACATCTCGCTCTTTTTCAGAAGTTTGCCTGCTACTTTTAAACCATTACAGATTTGAGAGAACTTTTAAAGGAACCATCAGCACAAATTTCCTAAAAACATAATCGATTCTTGCACTGCTTAAGTTAGTTTTAGGGCAGGGGTGAGGAACTTGTGGGCCATGGTCTGAATACAGCCTACGACTCCATTTCATACGGCCCACGGCCACATGAGGCCTATCACTTCTAAATGGGCTTCAAATGATATTTATATGTCACCGCAAACATTCTTCTAACTGCATCAGTCAGGTACTAAGGGGAGAATATTTTCAATCTGGCAACAGTGTTCCTAATTTTAGCTCGCTCAGTCATTTCTGTTACAGCAAGGGTCTCTTGCAGTGACGTAAGTGACTGAGATGCGTGGTCTGCAAAACGTACTTGAAAACCCTCTGAAAGGAATAGGTTTCCCCACCCCTGCTTTAGGTTGACCATAAAAATTAAAGAACAATAGTTAACCGCATGCATCCCATCGGTTGCGATGGTAAGTTTGTTGCCATTTCTCTCGTTGATTTTCTTTCTCCCCTTCCCCGTCTATCTCTCTCCGTCACTCGCTTTCTCCGGTGCCATGGGGTTAGGATGTCATTCCCATCGAACCTGCATCACGCAGGGCTGACGCGCGCCGTGAGCGTAACCGAGGTGCTGCTTGACAACACCTTCACGCCGCCGTGCCAGCGCATGGGCGCCATGGTGGCCTTCCACTCCTTCGAGGACTTCGTCAGGTACGCGAGAGTGGTGGCCAAGCGGGCAGGCAGACAGACATCTCCGGTGACACATATTCTCCTCCTACCCAGCTGCCGGCGTCTGGTCACCATTTGATTGATGGTGGTTGTGGTGATGGTGATAGTGGTAGAATAGTGCAGCAGTGCCAAATTGGTGTCTCCCGAGCCGCATGCGGTTCTTTAATCCACCACATGCGGCTCTATCAAAGGCGCATAATGTAGAACATACTATCACAGTAGCAAAGAATAACGAATTACTCTGGTGCTGTGCCGAAAACTGTCTATATATATACACTTATATGTACACTTGGGTCTTTACAGAACTCATGGGTACTTTTTGACTCTTGGTCTGTTACAGCTTGACCACCCCTGGTGTAGTGGTTATCGCGCTGCACTACGAAATAAGAAACCCTGGGTTTGATTCTCGGCCACGGGTCAACATTAGTGGCGAGTGATACCAGAAGTGGTTATGGGCCTCAAAAAGAGTCTTGGAAAAATATTCTGTTCGTGAGCACTTATTAAAGGTGGCATGGTGCACGAATGGGTGGCGTGTCGAGCACCAATCATGGCCAGCTTTGCCTTCACAATGCCAATATTTACACACCACACCAGGAACTCATTTAAAGTCTTGAGATGACCTACGAGAGGCTTACCACCGGTTCTGTTCGGTTACCTGCCATGGCATGGAATCGAACTTGGGTCACTGGGTTTATCGTGCAGTGCACAAATCACTATGGTATCCCCAATTAATAATTGAATGCTCCGTGTTATTACTCATCATGAGCCGGTTGAGACAAATTCCCTTCAGCAAGAGAGATCTTATTTTTATTATTCTATCTACGTGACTTTACCGAAAGAACCAAAGAATAAGAGAGATCTATAACAATCTCTGCAGCGGTGGTAATGAATATGTTACTGCTCTTGGTTCTTGCACAAAATGATGACGATGATGGCATTCATGCTCATCACATGACAGGGACTTTGAGGAGGTGATGAAGCATTTCTCGGATTCACCTCCGGACAGTCCCATCTTCCTGGAGCCCGGGCGCTCCACCCTGTACGCAGAGGAGGACAGCAAGGTGAGCGAATCGTACGAACTCCGTCGCACACATCCCCGCAGCTGTGCGCCCTTCACCGGGTGCTCCGCTTGGTAACCCGGTTCCGGATCAGCTTAGCTCAGCTGGACCTCAGCCACTGGGCCCTTCACTTGCCAAGAGCTCTCTTTTCCCCCATCGAGTGCCCTCGCAAATTTCACGAGCGCTCTCACTCACCTACCAAGTGCCCTTTTGTGCCCCGCGGAGTGCCCTTACACCCTGCCAAGTGCTTCTAGAGTCGGCCAATTATATTCTCTCGTATGTAATGGAACAAAAAAAACCTCCTACGCAACACGCACGCACTCTGCTAGGTGGTTAATGTTGTCATATATTGTATAATTTAAAGCATTATTTTTTTTAAACCTCTTTTTAATAAAGCTATTTTTCTTGCTAATTAAGTCAGGGTTGTTTATTCGTTTAAATTTTCGCATTTTTGCATGATAAATTCTGTCCGTCTCAAAATGAAGAGCACATAATGACTGCAACAACAACAACAGGAATAAGAGTGATAAACATTTTCCCCCAGATATGTACTCGCTACCTTTGCTTCGTGTATGCTTTAATTTCTAATAATTTACACTCCTTTGTCACTCCACTGCTGAATGAGGGCTTTCCCACACCATGTGGTTCAGTGTAGGGTGAGTGAAGAAGGTTGGTAGGTCCATGACTGGTTTAGATATCACTCACAACTTCATGTTAGCCGTGGCCAGGAATCGAACTCAGATCGCCAAGTTCAGAGTGTTCTGCATAAACTAGTGTGCCACCACTCTACTTGACCTCTTCATCCTCATCACTGTTGCTCTATCCACTGCTGGGTGATGTCCTCCCCATGCTTAAACCTGCCCCTCACAGTCCTGCAATGCCGCAGTCTATATCACCCCTGAAACATGAGCTGATCTCATCATTCCATCTCTGCAGTGTCATCCTTTTTATATATATTACCCTTTGTCAGTTCACTGCTAGATGAAGGTTTCCCCATGTTTTGTTTGTCATTGGGGTTGTTTGACAATACCATGCTGGCCAGTGCTGGGTTGGTTATGGGAGGTACCTAGGATCTGTTGAGATATCACTCAACACTGACAGCCATGGCCTGGAATTAAGTCACTGGGTTGATAGTGCAGTGTGGAAATCACCTTTACCACCACTCCACCCAATGGGCTGTTCATCGTAATCATCATCATCATCATCACCAATGATCCATCCACTGCTGGATGAAGGCTTCCCCATGCTGACTCCATCCCTGACTGTTCTACGACGCCGCAGTGCACACTCACTTTTGCACATGAGCTGATGGTCATCACTCCATCTCCACGTTGGTAAGCTTCTCTTACCTGACCATAAATAGAGGTTGACTACTCCTGCTACATGCCATGACGTAACACCACTTCGTGCTAATAAAACACAAATAATTGCAAAAAAAAACACACCGACAGAGGAGTAACGGTGCCGGATGTTTTCAGAGTGTGCGACAGGACCCGATCCACATCCTGAACGTGGCCATCAAGATAGACAGCGATACGGAGGATGATGAGCTGGTGACCGTGCTGCGTGACTTCACACAGTCCAAGGTGAGTGGGGAGCGTGCGGCCAGCGGAGAGACTTTGTTGTCAGCAAAGTATGGGCAGTCAAAGTGTCTTCCAGTACAAACGTGTAATACGACTTGCACTCATCTGCTTTGGTGGCCCTCAGCCAGTGATGTAAATTCACCATTTTAATGGCGAGGGCCAATATTTTCAAAGGAAGACCACTTCATTAGACCTCCTTTGCCAGTACCAAAATATAATAATAGGGTTTTCCCCCTTTTTTCTGGCAACAAAACTGAAACCTTTTACAAGGATGCATGTCTGCATTAACCAATTGGTGCTCGACCAGAAGAGCACTCCTCTGTTCGAGCACCAATTGGGTCGAGGCTCAAAAGAAAGCCGTCCCTTGGTGTGGACCAATCAGTTTGAAGGACAATGCATATATCATCATAGTGTGTTTTTTGTTTGCATTTGACTGCAAGTATTGTGGTTAATGCAGACATGTATCCTTGTAAAAGGTTTCAGTTTTGTTGCCAGAAAAAAGGGGAAAACCTCTATTATTATTATTATAGGAAGACCACTGTTTAAATTCCCACTTGGTGGTACCTATGTTATTGATTACAAATTTATGATGGGCAGTCAATTCATGATATGGTTTTGAACTCAGAACCTGATGTTTTGAGTTGCACTTGCCATGTGCATTTTGATGTTGTTGGGATTTGAACTTAAGTCATCATGCCTCATAGGACAGTATGCTAGCTTGTTAACTGAGAAGTAGTTTACACCATTGGAACCTCATTTGCCAGTAAAAAATATGATAATTGTTTTTTTACCCTTTTATCTGGCAACAAAACTGACACATTTTTTACAAGGAGTCATGTTTGCATAGACCGCAATACCTGCAGTTATAATGCAAACAAAAAACACAACTTTGATAATGTATGCACTGTCTTTAAAGTTGATTGGTCCACACCCGAGACAGCTTTCCTTAGAGCCTAGTCTCACATGGTGACGCCTTTTGGCGTCATCTGGTCCAACACCATGTGAGACTAGGCTCTAAGGAAAGCTGTCTCGGGTGTGGACCAATCAACTTTTAAGGACAGTGCATACATTATCAGAGTTGTGTTTTTTGTTTGCATTATGACTGCAGGTATTGTGGTCTATGCAAACATGACTCCTTGTAAAAAAAGGTGTCAGTTTTGTTGCCAGATAGAAGGGTAAAAAACCAATTATGAGAAGTAGTTCTGAGATATTTACTTCAGTGCACTATTCTCGAACAGGAAGGGTTACGCTGCTCTGCGAGAGACCCAAATGGATCCTTAGTCTCGTGACATTGATAACACAATCAACTTGAAATGAGTTCTAGATTTGAAGCTTTCGTGACTGCAAGGATTCATATTCTTAGGTTTTTTCGGTAAAGTCACGTAGGTAAAACATTAAAATTAATAAAACGTCGTGATTTTTATTTTATTTTACTTTTATTAATTTTAATGTTTTACCTACGTGACTTTACCGAAAAAACCTAAGAATATGAACTTGAAATGAGTGTTTATGATGCTAATGCTGTGTGACTTGTTGTACCCAACAGAAACGCATACTGATAGACCGTGGGATTAGGCGTCTGACATTCTTGGTGGCGCAAAAGGTATCGATCTGCTTTTACGATGAACTTCGCAACTGTGCTGCGCGTGTCGTCGTTGCGTCTAGTGAATCTGTGTCGTGCTGTGCTAAGTGTTTGTATTTATTTTTTTCTTTTGTTTTAAATATTGTCTCCTAATCACGAGCGTTGAAACAAACTTAACAAATGCAATGAAACTAACGCTATCTCTGTGTCGTGCTACAAGTAATTTTGTTTTTATAGTTTGCAACAAAAAAATATATGAAACCATAATGACAATCGTTGTGAATTCTCCTACAAAATGCTAATGCAAGGTTGATTTTTGTTCTCCTCTCTAAAGAAATGCTATAATGAGAAATAATAATGATAAGCCAATTAATCAAAGCGTTCCTCTTTGTTTTAAGTTGAATCCGTAATTCGTGTAGTGACAACTTGCTGATTTTCCTTTCCGGGAAAAGGACTTTAGGAAGCATTACGACTATGAGGTGGATCAGAGATTCCATGTAAGTGTAAGCAGGAGGTGAAGGTCTGTGGGGAGCAGCTCTCGGCATTTCATGCATTTGCGCTTGAGGCCATGAAAACTGAAACACCTTGGTTCTCAGGGGAGGGGCATTAATCTGCACATGCTGTGCCTTCGTCGTCATTTCTTGCAACTCTTTGGTTCAGGCCTGGAAATGTTGGTGAGCGCTATCAAAGTCTCATTCGGGGCGAGAAGACCCTGATGAATGTACAACATTACTTTTTGTTTACGTAGCATCTAAATGCGACTGCGTTACAAGACATAAACTCACATGTCCCAAATGTAGTTTATTAACAGTGCTTATTCAGTAAATTGGGGACTAATTGAGGCTTTTATTAAGTAAAAAAATAACTTTTGTATAGTTACATTTTGTTTATTACTACAGTTAAAAATATTTTTTGACAAACATTCTTCATATTCTTCCCAACATTTAGTTGAACAATTAAAGCAGGCTGAGGGTATACTGGTGTGTCCTTTCCTGAGAACCCAATAAGTGTATTCTTGTTTTTCATGGCCTATCATATCTCTGTGCTTCCATTCTTTCCAGCTTCTTTGCATCTTCTGATAAACATGGCCGGTAGAAGTCTGCGGAAGTGTGCAGGGATGTGTGTGTCTTCTGAGCAAATCAAGAGCACCCTGGCTCATCCAGTTAAAAGTTAACACGACGATAAAAAAAACAGTTTATCGGTTTGCCTGACATTGAATTCCGTGGATTGTACCTCGCCCTGTTTACCAGACCCATGACATTCAGTGTTTGTTAAAAACTGTGCCCTCTTGACTCATGTGCCTTGATTCAATCCCTTCACCCACAATCTCTTGTTAAAGTACTGACCTGATGTATTTCGTCGCGCTGGATTTTGTGAAATCGGGTGACGCTGTTGAGTCTTAACAAGCGAAAAACTGGATTTGAGGTTTTTTTTTTTCAAAAGGCTGAAACGTAGCTGATCTCTGAGCAAACAGGCAGCTGCCTGGAGTTCTCCAACATGTGTTTGGGTTGTGTACCGCGTGTTGTTGTTTGGAATTATGTCTGATGTTTTGCTCCATGAGCTGGGAAATTCCTCAGAAATGGAACTATTCGGTTTCACTATTTGGAACTTTTCATTTAAAGTATTCGCTTTCTGAACAAGGTCCCATCACCTGGAGTGAAACGTCAGACATTGTTCCAAACAACACGTGGTAAAACATGAAAACACGTCAGGGATTTACATCACACAGCCGCAGAACTTGCGCAGTAATGGGGCATCTAGTTGATACTCATTAGATTAAATGATACATTAAAAAATCTATCCGTCCAGTCATTTCTTGACATTTTCAAACAAAAGCCATAATTAAGCATCAGCCTTTTTTTACAAATAGCCTTTATCGTTAAACAGGAACGTTAAACTCTTCATTACACAAAATAATGTGGGTTAAATAAATTAATAATTGAGTACAAGTGAAAAATAATATTACTCACATCACTATCATTGCCTTATAGCAGAAATACTGTACGATAGGCCAACGGTCCACGCAGCATCCCATTTTCAGAGCAGGCGACATAGCACAGAGGAGATTAACCGACTTACCGTTGGAAATCTCACTTTACAGGCGGCGCCTTAATTTTTTATGTTTGATTAATGAATGACCTGGATGTGTCCCCACTGGTGAGTTCAAATCAATTCCTAGCTCTGCATATCGGTGAGGTGCATCTCATGCTCAGACAGGTCATTCTTCAGCATCAGCTGTCCTTTGGGTTTCAGCTAACCTAACGGGGCTCTCCCCGGGAGTCTTTGGGGTTTCGGCAGCGCATTCTCAAGCTTGCGCTTGCCGCCTCTCATGCCGCTTTTGTTCTGGGTCATCATTGCACCACTACCGTGCTTCTGAGCGTCATAAATCTCGTGTTACACTTACATTACTTCCGACCACATCATCATCATCATTGCTTGCATTGAATTTGTGCCACGCAGTGTGGAACACCTCGGAAGGTGGTGGGTCTTATTTAAGAGTCATTTGAATGCATATGTATGAGCAATACACTGAGGTGTATTGTACATACGTGACTCATGGAGCTGATACTGTGTCAGAGACGTCAAGCTGACCAATTGAGATTCTGGGTGAGAATCAGGATTCCAGCTACCAGAGATTAAACCGGGTTCTCAAGTGTAGCGAGTTGATGGCCTCAGTCCGGTCACCAATAATTGTGCAAAAATCCCATTGTGTTAAATTCCGTTTTTTGCTAAATTTGGCTTATTCCATCTCTGAGTACGAAAGCTTTGGATTGATTTTTCAGATGTCAAACGCTGCTAGGCATGTCAAATGTGCGCCGCTTAGTGTGGATAGAGGTGCCTTTTGAAGGGGCTTTCGAAGTAATTCTGTGACGTCATCTTCTGAGGGCTGTTCTCTGACACCTAGTGGTTCCCTGCTCACTCCCAACAGTTCCGGGTGGACATTTTCTCATCTCATGGCATGACTGATGACGCAACTGGAATGTAATTGTGGGATAAAGATGGGAAAAAAATAATAAATGAAACAAAAACTATTTATATGGTGGTAGCGGTTGTATATTGGTGCCAATATGTGCCTTCCGAAAGTTTTTTTTTTATCTCTTTTGTTTATTAATCCTTGATTGTGTTTTGCTACTCAATTTTTGCCACGTATCTTACAGAGAGAGTTCCCCAAGTTCTTCACGTTCCGTGCTCGTGACAAGGTACAGAACCTCCGTTGCTTTCGCCTGTGGGCTTGGAGCGTAACATTAAAGCATTAATGCATTTGTTCTGTCCGTCCGTTTGTCCTTCTCACTGCCTGTTATGACGGTGGGGGAGGTGGTGGGTCCATGATAACTGTTGTTAAGATGTACGAAGATAATTGTCATTTTATTATGAAGTTGTGTTGCTATGAGACTTATCCTGTAAAAAACTGACAATTTATCAAAAGGTCACCCAAAACTTGGCTTAAAAGCAGTGCTAATGGCATTTGCCTTGCCAGCCAAGGCAACGATGTCATTACGTGCACGACATGTGATGTGTGATGTCATCCGCGTGTGCGTCATGAAAGGCAAAGTGGCCGTGGCAAATTAAGCACTTCTGAGGACAAACGTGTGTTGGAAGGCTTTCCCGAATCCATGCGTATACAGGATTTTTCCATCTTCTTGGTTCTTTCAGTAAAGTAGAAGGAAAATAATAAAATAATAAAAATAAAACATAATAAAATAATTCTCACGACGTTTCGGCTACAACGCTTCAGGTGGAGAATAGGTCTGTCAGACTCTGTCTACTTGACAGACCTGTTCTCCACCTGAAGACGGCTGCTTGCGTTGTGGCCGAAACGTCGTGAGAATGATTTTATTATGTTTTAATTTTTATTATTTTCCTTCTACGTGACTTTACCGAAAGAACCAAGAAGATGAATCCCTGCAGTCACGAAAGCTTTAAATCGGGATTTTTCCAGCCTTGTTTTATTCAAAACACGCTCCTTCCCCCCCGCCCCCCCCCCCCCCCCCCCCATAGTTCGAGGAGGACCGCATTTACCGCCACCTGGAGCCGGCGCTCGCCTTCCAGCTGGAGCTGAACCGCATGCGCAACTTCGAGCTGCACGCTCTGCCCTGCGCCAACCACAAGATGCACCTGTACCTGGGCACGGCGCGCGTAGAGCAGGGCATCGAGGTCACCGATTACCGCTTCTTCGTGCGCGCCATCATCCGCCACTCTGACCTCGTCACCAAGGTGAGGCCGCCGAGACCACGCTCTCTCCCTGCCCGCCCTCCCGGTTGCTCACACCTCCTGGAGGGAAGAGATGGCTTCCTTCGTGCAGGACTAAGGGAGCGAATTGATTGCATCCCACACGTGTATTAGATGAAGTCAAAAGTCAAGAGGGGACCATGCTTCGGAAAACTGAATGGTGCATCCGAAGGACATCGTCGCGTTGATGGTTTGTCCCTCGTTGACAATGATAGGATCGTTGGCGTTTTGTGTCTGAAAAACCGATGGAGTTTACATTAGGTGTGGGGTATTTAATCAATGACTTGCTTTTTTGCCCGTCCAAGGATGGGTGTATATTGCAGTAAATCTGAGATATATTCAAGAGAAAAATTGTTCGGCTCATGATTGGTAATGAGGGGGGGGGGGGGGGGTTGCCCCATGTGGAGTGACGTCACCCCCTCATGGTTGTTGTGGAGGGGTGCGGCATGTGGAGTGACGTCACCCGCTCATGATTATTAATGAGGGGAGGGGTGCAGCATGTGGAGTGCACGAGTGTAAATGTCCACGCGGGCATGAATATTAATGAAGGGGGGGCCTCTTTTGCAGTGACGTCACGCACGTATGTAGCACTGTGCTGCGTAGATTTACGTTTTACCGTCACTTTCTGTAAAGATGCGTCATATTTGAAGCGACTTTGCGTAATAAATAGTTTAATTCAGCTCCACCTTCCTCTGCGTTCGTGTAAAAATCCACCCACTCATGAATATTAATGAGGGGGGTGGGCCTCATGTGGAGTGACGCAAGGTCGTAATTATATATTGAGGGGGACACATCCCCCCCAATATTCAAATATGGTCAAAATGTCCCCCCCAATATGTTGCTATAAAAATATTTTTGCTGTGCTATGTAAATAAAAACAACAATTTGCTAAACCTTGGCCACAATATCTGGACTTGTCTTCATATAAATCAATGCATAGATTTATGTTTATATGATTGTGGTTGTACTTTATTAATCCCGAATCTCTGCTATTACATACAATGAAACAAGAAATGGTAAAAAAGTATAAACAGAGCAATGTAATGCAATACACTATTAGACATTATTGTCAAAAATACATTAAAAGTCCATCCCTTGTGTTAGTGAATTTTTCAATATTTTAGGCAGGAAATGAGTTTTCAAATTTAGATATTTTTCTGGGTTGGGACCCCCAGACACCCTGGAAGATTTGGTCCCCCCCAATGTTAACTCCATGGCTACGGCCTTGGAGTGACATCACACGGGGGGGCCTCATGTAGAAGTGACGTCACGCGCGGGACGGACAGACATTTCTGGGTGATTATAGTAGGTAATGAATCTAACTGACCAAGAGCTCCAGTAAGAGGGGCGTTTGTGTAAATGTGTGTTAGAAATCAGCAACTCCAGGTCTACGTTGCAAAAGAAACTTCTGGTTGCCTGATCGTTTCAGATATTGGAAGCTTAGCAGGTTGGAGTCTGGTTCGTACTTAGATGGGAGAGACTGCCTATGATACCAGGTGTTATAGGCTTGGACTGTGATGTGGTTGAGAGATCATGGGACCATAACAGATTCTTGAATCTGCCTTTAATAATCACATCGTATGAGTGTCATTTCTACAGATAACCCTGTTCTATCCCACAATACTCATTAAATGGAATTGACCATGCATCCCAATGTAGCTAGGATGGTCCTGAAAAGAGTGTAATCTGACAAAGGCTTGCTTAAATAAATAACATGAGTATTATTTAAGTATTTTGCATATCCTCATCTGTGGTTCATTTTCGAGTATGTCAACATATCATTGTTGTCGTATTTTTGTTGAAAATGTGTAACTGGGCGATTTTGCGTGTTGACACATTTGCGCCTTGCATGTAACTCACACGCTCGTGTATGACTCACGCATGGTGTGCCCATCTGCCGGTCCGTACGTCTGTCTGCTGCTTCGTGCGGTCATTCGCTGTTGCGACCATCCGTCCGTCCTTGCAGGAAGCGTCGTTCGAGTACCTGCAGAACGAGGGCGAGCGCCTGCTGCTGGAGGCAATGGACGAACTGGAGGTGGCCTTCAACAACACGGCCGTGCGCACTGACTGCAACCACATCTTTCTCAACTTCGTGCCCACCGTCATCATGGACCCTTCCAAGGTACTCACGCCACATGCGTCGGCGCTGAACAATCCTCAGTTGGCACGTGCGCACCTTGTGCGCTTGATCGGGCAGCGAGATGGGACGCAGACTTGCGCGCCGACTCGCGACGGTGACGGTGGATGTGCTTTCTGTTGTGCCGTTAGATCGAAGAGTCTGTGCGCAGCATGGTGATGCGCTACGGAAGCCGGCTCTGGAAGCTGCGTGTGCTACAGGCCGAGCTGAAGATCAACATCCGCCTCACGCCCACAGGCAAAGCCATCCCCATCCGCCTGTTCCTCACCAACGAATCCGGCTACTATCTTGACATCAGCCTCTACAAGGAGGTCACTGACCTCCGCACCAGCCAGGTAAATGCAGGAGCATTGCCTGGCATTTAATGTTCTTGAAGATGTAGTCCAAGCTACCAGGGTTTGAGCGTCATCATTATCATCATGGGACCTCCTTTGCCGGTTCCAAAATATGAGAATAGGTTTTCGCTTTTTTTCTGGCAACAAAACAGGTGTTAAGATGTTAAAACACCAAACTGAAACCTTTTACAAAGAATCATGTTTGCATTAACTATGATACTTGTCAGAATGCAAACAAAAAACATACTCTGATAATATATGTATTGTCTTTGAAACTGATTGGTCCACACCAGAGACAGCTTTCTTTTGAGCCTAGTCTCCAGTGGTGTTAGACCAGAGGATGCCAAAAGGCATACAGCACAAAGACAAGCACTATCAGAGTAATGAGAGCTCGGGGTGAGCAGCTACATCATCGGACCCCCTTTGCCAGTACCAAAATATGAGAATAGGTTTTCCCCTTTTTTTGGCAACAAAACAGTTGTGTTAAGATGTTAAAACACCAAACTGAAACCTTTTACAAGGAATCATGTCTGCATTAACCACAATACTTGCGGTCAGAATGCAAACAAAAAAACATACTGTGATAATATAGTGCATTGTCTTGGAAACTGATTTAGTTGTTTTCATTTATTTTACTTTTTACCTACGTGACTTTACCGAAAAAACCAAAGAGTATGAATCCTTGCAGTCACGAACTCTTCAAATCTAGAATCTTAACACCTGTTTTGTTGCCATAAAAAAGGGGAAAACCTATCATCATCATCAGCTTTGATTTGTGGGTGTTGTTTGACAATACGTCCTCAAGCAGTGTCAGTGCACGTTGATGAAGAGAAACAAGTGCCCATGACCTGGACTGTTTCAGATATCTCTCGCCACTAATGTTAGCTGTGGCCTGGAATCGGGCTCCATTCATAGTGCAATGTGCTATTTATTGTATAGTAGCTTGAACTTATTTCGTACCGTATGTAGCGAACCATGCTGATCAGAGGTGCGGGGGAAGGACAAGAAACTAAATTCAAAAATAATCTCTAAATAATTGGGTTTTCAATCGCTCTACATGTGAATCATTCAATATCTGCATAAAGCAAACGACTATTATTTTGCAAATACATGTGTGGTGCTCGCCACATGACCTTCTTGTGTGAAGTGCTCGACTTCATAGGTGCTAGCCCACATCACATGTTCCAAAAGCTTTGAAAACGTGGTATGGGAGATCTTTGTCTCCATATACGTCTCACCCCTTTGCCTTGCCATCCTTTTATTTTCATCACAGATCATGTTCCAGGCATACGGTGACAAACCGGGCCCTCTGCACGGCATGCTCATCAACACGCCGTACGTCACCAAGGACCTCCTGCAGTCCAAGCGCTTCCAGGCTCAAAGTTTGGGAACCACCTATGTCTACGACTACCCTGAAATGATCCGACAGGTGGGCAATGGGACTGTTTCACCTGAGTGGAGGCGGGGAACATACACTGGCTTTCAAGTTTATTTTGTGTCACATAGTGAAAATTTAAAGGGGGGGGGGGGGGCAGCATTGTTTCATTTGTAAGAGTGACTGACCTGTGTCACCAACATGACAAAAGCAATAAACAAAGTACAGCAAGCACATAGCAAATTATAGCAAAGGCAACTGCATCATGGGAGAAATAAAAAAGAGTGCAAAAATGTGACTTATTCTCATTAAAATTGCCCTGTTACGTTTGGTAAATTAGATTGTTATCCAAGACGAAAAGACAAAAAAAAAACTTTTAAAAGTTTAATTAACACTTTGTCTTTTTCATTATCTCTGGTACTATCTGTTTCCTTGTACTGATTGAACTTCTCCCCCAGGTAAGATGGTCGCCCGATTTACATACTGCTGCAGGGAGTTTCTACGTTATATCATATCTATGGGGCAGCCGCCAATGCCGCTGCAGGCGCCATTCATTCATTCATTGATGCGCTTTTAATTAAAAACTGTGTCCCTAAGTGCACATCGCGTTATAGTGAAAATCGATTTGCGCACATGGACTTAAATGGTGTTAAAAGCACCCATAGCAAGTGAGTGTTGAGCCCTGCCTTTAAGAAACATAGTTTTTCCTCTCGGGGAATTTGTGTTACATAATACACCCGCGAGCATTTGTATGACTTGAAATTCGGTTCCATTCTGAAATGTTCAAACCAAAGGAGTAATGAACTTGTCATTCATTTTATGAATGTACTTTCCTACAAATGGTGTATGTTTATAAATTTGACTAGAACTGTACCTGGAAGTGCGCTATACTTGCTTTCTGTTGACCTTCGCAACACACTCCACTGGAGGCAAATTACTTGGTTCACTGATGGTGGGAATCATGTACGTTATTAAAAAATGTTTATCATCAACTTTAAAGGAATGTACGAGTAAAACCACTCAATCTCAATACTGTAATTTATAACGGCCTAAATATTGCATACATATATATGGTTGTGCTTATCACAACAGGAAGGTTGCAAGTTCATTACCCGTTCGTCGGCGGGTCATTCTGTGGATTTTTATGTTCAACCCCCTGCTAGATGAAGGCTCCCCTGCACTGTACGAGCTGTGGCGGTTATTTGACTAAACTTCACCACACTGTTCAGTGCGAGTTGTGAAGGTGGGAAGCACAGCCGTGGAAAACTTCACGTCGATAACAATGTATTTTGATGAACTGCCCCCTGCTGTCAACCGCTTAGCCCCGCAAGCCCTATGACAAGCTAATTGTGTATGGTGGTCAACCACTGCAGCACTATCCAAAGAACAACCCTGCTTAGCTTCTGAGATCTGATGAAATTGTGTGCATTCGCGCGCTATAAATTGCATTATTATAATTGGTCACTGACTACAGGGCGACTCGTTATCCTTAAGACTCAATTAAATGAGTGACTTTGCATCGGTTATAGTGACGTGAAATTTGCAGCGTGAGCTTGGGGTCACTAAACAGAAACTAGCGCCAACCACATCGCTCTGTCTTTATCAGCGAGAAACTTTGACTTTTGACTTTAATTAACAACATTGTCCCCAAGTGCACATCGCATTACAGTGATAGGCATAATACGGGTAGCGTATTTACCGTGCAGTAAAGTTATGACCAATTAACACATCTGTTCTCCGTGTTTGGGGACCTTGAGTGCAGATGGGGTAGGGCCCTTAGAATCCCCACCGCGACCGTCTTGTAAACCCGGAGGCATCAATTGGTTTTCCTCACCGCTACGATTCGACGAATTGTCCCAATTCTGGGCTGTGTTTCGATTTGTAAATAGATTCGTGTTTTGCTAATTTGTGAGCGTCGATTAAATAGTGGTATACATCTATGGAATGTTCAGTTTCATGAAAGTTACGTGCATATATCAATCAAATGATTGGTTCCTACTACTACGCGTATGATTGAAGGCTTTAGAACGAGCGCGAGAACCGATTTTACTTGACAAATTAATGCATTGTTGAATTCCTGTAAGTTGTAAGCTGTCTAATTAACTATGCTCACCATATTTACCTTGAATTGTGCACGTGAGACTCGGTTATTTTCAATCCTAATATGTTGTACATCATCACTTTGTGGTACCCGTACAGCCACTAGAGGCGCAGTGTTTACAATAAAAATATTCTCTTGAATCGAATCACAACCCTGAATCGTGACAATTTATCGATTTTCAAAACAGGCGGTGGGGGGCGGGGAAGGGGAAATCATTACATGATGACTAATAATAAATAGTAACACTGGTCAACACAAAAAAAAACATTTTTTTCTGGCCTGGACTTTTGCAGCTGTTTTAGACTAATTTCAGGGTGCTGACTCCAAATCTGATCTCAGAGTTGCTCTATCACATCTCATTTTTATGCTATCGGCATACCCCGTTTTCATTGATTTTACCCGAAATTAACTCTGTCACTTATGATTGCAAGTTGTTGCGAGTCAGTGACTGCTTTAGTGTTAAAATATGGTGCTGTATTTTTAGGATAGTGTGTTTATAATATCATTTTATGTAGATATCCACGTTTATTTAATATTTTTCTTCTGCAGTTTTCATTAAAAATGCAATATTTGATATTCAAAAACTGATGCCAGATTTGCAATCAGCACCCCAAAATTACCTTAAAACCGTTGCAATAGCTTATGCCAGAAAAAGTGTGTTGACCAGTGTTATTGATGAATCGACTCGTCCTCATATCCCTCCTATATACCTCCCCCTCTACTCTTCCCTTTCCATACCTTATCTCCCATCTCGTCCCTGCAGGCACTGCTCAAGCTGTGGGACGCGTATGGCAACGGGCTGGCGCACAAGGACGTGCTGACATACACGGAGCTGGTGCTGGACTCGCAGGATCAGCTCGTGGAGATGAACCGGCTGCCCGGGGGCAATGAGGTACCACCACGCGCGCAGTGGCCACTGCCACCCTTACCGTGCCACCGCTGTGACTGACGATAGTTTTATTTTTCTACGACCTAATTGTATGGAGTGCCACACACCCCTCCACATTGTGCTCTTGTCCGTTCTGAGTTTTGGTTCCTTGTTGTGCCGTTGCTGGCCAGATCGGCATGGTGGCGTGGAAGATGTGGCTGAGGACTCCGGAGTACCCGCAGGGTCGGACTGTGGTGGTCATTGCCAACGACCTTACGCATCGCATTGGCTCATTCGGGCCGCAAGGAGGACCTGTTGTTCCAGCAGGCATCGCAGCTGGCGCGTACGGATGGTGTGCCACGCATCTACATCGCCGCCAACAGCGGTGCGCGCCTCGGCCTAGCTGAAGAGATTCGGCACATGTTTAACATCGCCTGGATCGACCCCAATGACCCCTACAAGGTGAGGCGAAGGGTCTGAGCGTGTGTGTGTATGTGTGTGTGTCGTGTGGTGACGTCACCGCCACTTAGTGGCGAATGGTGGTTGTTGTTGTTGTTGTGTGCGTTGTGTTTAAGGCATGTTATAATTGACATTTAGAAGACGCAATTCATCTAGGGATCTCAATGGGTCATGCACGGAGTTAGGCGAAACAGGTGAGTCTTTCGAGAAATCTAAACAGGGTGAATGAGCTTACTTGTCTAAACACTGGTGGGAGGGCATGTTGAAATTGTTGAACGTGTGTAAAATGTGCAGCCTTAGATTCAAGGCCGAGACCCACATGGCCATGTCCAGGAGCTCTTAGTTGAGGCCAAAAAGCACAAAGCCGGGGGAGTTTTAGGTCAGGGCCTGTGTCAAGGCTGGATTCTCTAGGCTGAGGCCACTGTCAAGGCTTGGTGCCTCTAAGCCAAGTCCCTGGAACAAGGTCACACCACCAAAGGCAAGATCAAGGATAAGATCTAAGAAGGTGTCTTTGAGCTGGTCTCGAGGACGCTTTGTGTCATGCCCAATGTGTGTTGTGTGGATCATATGTCGTGTCGAATTGATATCCAGCCAGGTGGCGAAGTGGCAGAGTAGCAGTCTTAGGATCAGAAGGAAGATCAGGAATTCAGATAACAGTCACGGTCATATGTAAAGACTCGTGTCCACCGTATGAATGCGAAATTTCCACCACTGGCTCATGCCTATTGTTTCAATTTGAATATGACGATGCTTAATACAATTTCCATATGATTTGATCAATAGGATAACCTCAATATGTGTATTGTCTTACGCACAAAATAAATTAACGTATTCAAAGGACATGTGCTGTCAGCTGTGACGACGTGTGTCACTGCTGATAGCTTTGACAACACGCGTGTATTATGCATGTGATGTAATGAATCATCTCCATAGCTTCACTGCTCCCCCCCATGCCCCATGCATGATTCAATAGATTTTCATGATTCATGGTCACACTTAATTTATGGATCAATTAATTTTGTCCCTTTTGAACTGCCTCATTTTGATTGTCCAGTGTTTTCCATCTGTACTGTCTGCCTCGTTGGTTCCATTGGCAAACAAAACTGCGACTGGAGAATAACATTTTCATGAATCATAAATAATGCACTCAGTGCAAGACAATGAACATAACAATGTATTGTTATCTTCTTGGTTCTTTCGGGAAAGTCACGTAGAATGGAAATAATAAAATAATAAAATAAAACATAATAAAATTATTCTCACGACGTTTCGGCCACAACGCAAGCAGCCGTCCTCAGGTGGAGAACAGGTCTGTCGAGAAGACAGAGTCTGAATGACACACCCCAGGCTTGGAGCGACTATTTAAGCTGGGATGGAGGGGCGAAGAGTGCCTAGACAAAATAATTTGCATATCAAGAGGCATTTTAGCATATTTATGGGAAATGCAGATATGCGGTCAGTACTACTTGTGAAATGCGTAGGAGGTTTGGCGGGGGGGTTTAAAGTCATGTTTTGCCCGTGCATAATGCAGGATTAGCAGCATCAAAGGGAGGGGATATGGGGAAGCATTAATAAAGGGAAGGAATGTTAATAGTATGTAGCTGCAGTAACTAAACCACCACGTAAACAACTAAAGTATAAACTACATAGTATTATCAGTATACTAAATATACTCTCCAATAAGCTGAGCTACTAACAGTAAGTAATACATTATAATATTTTATTAGTATTATTTTATTATTTCCATTCTACGTGACTTTACCGAAAGAACCAAGAAAATGAATCCCTGCAGTCACGAAAGCTTTAAATCGAAATTTAATGTATTGTTATGTTATGCTCGATTACTTGGTTATATGCCTGGTGGATATAATTCCCAAATTCGCCCATCTGCCCAGAGTTTCAAGTACCTGTACCTGACCCCTCAAGACTATAAGAAGGTCAGCGCTCTCAACTCCGTTCACTGCGAGCACATCGAGGATGAGGGGGAGTCCAGGTAATGCCCTCGGTCGTCCCCCTTCCATGGGAAATTGTCTTTGTTAACAGAGCTCTTAGGCTACTTATTACTATGCCCAGGAAATCATCTCTGTCCATCTATCTGTCTGTCTGCCAGACATGTGAAGTGATTGATATGTTAGTAAGAAAACTATAAATCGTAAAACTGTCACCATGAAACTTACTTCACAGCTTACCATTACCAAGAACCAGATCTGTATAGTTTATGGGCAAGATTGCCAATGAAATACCTTTTAGGAAGTCTGTTACAAAAACTATATGTAACATATTGCAATCTAGTATTGTTAGCGAGCGTGCATTAGTATACAAGCATTCAAGTTCAAGAAATTAAAAGTGTGCGTACGGCGCATTGTGTATTTTTTTTACACGCGGATAATTTGGCCACGCATTGTATAAAAATATCAACATTTTATTAAAATGCTTGGTTTGGCCATCACGCTTCACATATTTTGCGCTTTCAAAATGTACAATGTTCCCACTGCTGCATGCCAGCATGGCGGGGTTGGAAGATTGGGGGGCAGGACGAGAGTTGGTGGCAGGGTGAAGCACTGGCGGTGATGGCTACCCTTTCTGTATTTTACACTAAGTGTGGCCTTTACAAATAGATGACCACTTGTTCAGCGAAAGTTCATTATGGTAATAAAAATGTGAGCACATTTGGCCATTACACCGCATTGACCTTTTCAAAATGCTGGTTTTACGGTGAGGTGTAACGCGTTTATTCATGAGTGCTCTGCGCACCTCCCGGGCAGTGTTTACGCTTTTACCTGGCAGCCTATCGCAGCGCTGCATATTCCGCGTTCAAATTGGCACCGATTAGGATCAGTGATTTGCAAAAAAAAAGCGAAAAAGTAGCATACGTGGTATATGATGATGGTAGCAACAATAGCAAGTAAGTGCTGAGCTGTGCCTAAAATATTCATGATTAATCTGCACTGCGTGTAATGTAGATGCACAGCCCTTCATCGATCCACTGCTGGATGAGAACCTCCACATGCTGTGTGGGTCATGAGCATGATGACCATACTTTGCTCGGCTAGTCAGTGTGGGTTGGTGGAACCAGGGAGCAAAGAGTACACTATAACAATGTTTTTTTGCTGCACTGACCTCTGCTGCCCAACCACATTGCTCTGAAGCTGTCGATGACAACCATTTTTTTATGCGAACACGATCCAGGCTCAACCTATACTTAGCTTTTGAGCTCTTGTGAGATCGGGGTGCATTCTGGGTGGTGTTTGCACAGGTGCCGTACTGAACACTAATTGCAAATTATCCGCCCTGCAGGTACAAAATCACTGACATCATTGGCAAGGAGGAGGGCCTTGGTGTAGAGAGCCTGCGTGGATCTGGCATGATCGCCGGGGAGAGTTCCCAGGCCTACGAAGAGATCATCACTATCAGCTTGGTAAGATGCAATCTACCCCAAAACACTCGTAAATTAAAACCTGGCCACACAAGATAGCTGAAAGAAGTGGCTTATCGTATGTGGGTATTCAAAGTAGCCAAATAATCTAAATGCGTGTTTCTAAATGTGGAGGGCATAATCGGAGGAACCCAGGCAAAAATACATATGACCGCAGGGAGAGAACACGCAAACTCCAAATAGGCAGGGATTGCCAGGGTCGGGATCAAACCCACAACCTCTTTCGTACCGAACCAGGGAGATAACATCGTCCCACCGTGGCAAATTGTTATACTGGAACATTCCCACGTTGATACCCATGACACTGGTAATTGGTGATTATACCTCCAGATGTCGTGTCCAGTACCCATGATAGACATAAGCAGGGATTCATTTCTCACTGAATATTTTCCTGATCATTTTTGGACTTGTGCAGATGGCACGTGACTAATAGTATCAGCCATGACAAAAATGTACGCTGAATGTGATGTGCTGTGTACGTGAATATTTAGTCATACCCTGGGTGTTAAGGATTGGTGGTACATCTTCTTGGTTCTTTCGGTAAAGTCACGTAGAAGGGAAGTAATAAAATAATAAAAATGAAAATAATAAAATAATTCTCACGACGTCTGTCGGGGAGACAGCGTCTGACGCTGTCTCCCCGACAGACCTGGTCTTCACCTGAGGACGGCTGCTTGCGTTGTGGCCGAAACGTCGTGAGAATTATTTTATTATGTTTTATTTTTATTATTTTATTACTTCCCTTCTACGTGACTTTACCGAAAGAACCAAGAAGATGAATCCCTGCAGTCACGAAAGAAGCTTCAAATCGAAATTTAATTATGTTTTATTTTTATTATTTTATTACTTCCCTTCTACGTGACTTTACCGAAAGAACCAAGAAGATGAATCCCTGCAGTCACGAAAGAAGCTTCAAATCGAGATTGGTGGTACCTTGTGGTATTGCGATGCCAGTGTTGTGATCACAGAAGTGCTACAATGATGATCATCATCATGATTGTCAATTCCCAAAGTGTATTCATTTCTGGACAAAGGCTGAATAGAGAGATCGCTTTTTGTCATTGTCACCAGTACAACGACATTTAGAATGCCCACCAGTCAGGGCATCATTCATAAATTTAAATTAAAAAGAGCTCCCTGCGCAGTTTCCATCCCTCATGGTCCTGCAGTGCCACAACCGATCTTACTCCTGCGCATGGGCTGATCTTATCACTTCATCTCCTCGGCGGTTGTCCTCGTGAACACACGAGTTCTTATACACCATGCGGTGCATACAGACTTAACTTTGCATACACCAAGCTCCCAAGCCGCGGGAATAATTTGTTGTGGATGAGTGTTTGCGGGCGCGCTCATGCCCCAGTGTAGGTGCACGCACCTGGTCTTTGTGTGCAATGCGCGCCCCTGTATGTTTGCACACACTTGCCTGAAGGCATCTACGCAATGATGGCGATCACTCGGTGTGGTAGTATAGTGGTTAGCGCACTGCTTTACGAACCCGGCGACCCAAATGAAATTCCCGCTCACGGCCAATAACATTGGTGAATTATTTACGTAGAGATCTCTGATGCGGAATAACATAAGAATATTGTTTACTCATCATCAGGTGCGTGTAGCTTGTAACAACTTAATATGAACGGAGAATATTGGTAAATGTGCAAGGGAGACAGTGGTGGATCGCAGCTACTGTCACAATGCAACCCTGCTGAAGGGAATTACCCAAGTGCTCAGTCTACTGTGAAGGTGAAGTTTAAAGGGTTTGCAACTCTATTGGAAAGAATAGATCATGGACCCAGAGTGCTAATGCCTTTGCCAAAATTTGGCAAGACTAATTTGAAATTTAAAGTTATTTCTCTGCAGGGGGTGAACACCTCTGTAAATGAGGTAATGGGTGAGATTCACATCTTTAAAAAAATGGGTGTAAATCGGTTGCTTTCTGTGATGTCTCCCTTGTCCTATTCACATCTCGCGTTTAGAGCAATTTCATGACGTCCGCCAGAGCGGCTGAAACCAATTGGGGACCGTGGGCTGGAGAAGCAACGTAAATATGCATCGATTAATTTATTGATGCCAATTTTAATGTTCAGGATGCTAGAATCAAATCGTTAATCACTATCTATTATGCACATATATATGTTCATTATATTCTCATGTTACATGTAGGCAAATAGAGTGAACACAACTGTGTGATATAGATTTAAAAATCTTTTTGAAACAATATATAAATGAGATGTAAAAATGAAACTAAAATAATCCTTTCTTGAAAAACATTGTCATCCTCTCATCACTCAATTCCCCTCCATACACACTCCAACATCTCCCTTCTCATTTTACGCTACTCCCCTGTCATTCCAGCAACCGTGGTTTTCTGTCGAAGTCCTCAGTCAACCTTCTTTCAAATAGGAGGTCACTCGTTCCCCCGCTCATTTTCATCTATTCCGCACACTGTGTGGTTTGTGGGTGTAATTTACCATACTTCACCACATTGGTCAGTGCAGGAGCATAGATTAACATTGCAACAATGAAGTTGTGCATGGTGATCATTCACCCAAACAATATCCAGGCTCAACCCAGCACAGCCTCTGAGATCTGGCCCATTCTGGGTGATTCATTCTCATGATGATTAAATGTAATTGGGCATTGCGTTATTAGCACAGTGGTGTCGCCAAACTGATTACTCATCCCGTGTACACACGGCAATTTTACCCCTCAGGTTAAACATATGATTCTAGCTTTCGCTATCAAGGTCAGAGTCTCTCACCTCTGTGAGGGACCGACCTGGCGGTGTTCATGTGTTGGTTTGAGTGGGTTTTTTTGGCAGGTGTTTCAAGTTGACATATATCGATGTAAAAACACTCCCCTTGGGCTGGCACGCTACCGTCGTCATCGTTTGCGTCGCGTTAGGATGCGTTAACCAACACAAGCAATTGGTTTCAGGTGGCGGGGGAGGAAATCCGTCAAGACTTCATACGCAAGAGTTTTAAACAGGTCCATGGCGAGGCCGCTTTAATTAAATTGTGACCATTAGCCTGGGAAGATGAAACTCGCCCCCTCACGCCAACCCACCCTCACTCGCTCTCCACTCACCTGCCGATCCACCGCCCTCTACTCTCCCCCCACCACCCCCCATCTTTGCACTAACAGGTCCACTTATGGGCGAGGGTATTGATTCCGGCCGTTACATTTACTCCTTTATCCATTACGTCTGGGTATGGGTTACGGCCAGAGCTGCCGTATCCACGTGGGGACCATTTACTCAGACTGATGCCTCATTAAATGACAAAAGGTTCATTGGTCTTCAGCACACACGCACGCACACGCACGCACACGCACGCACACAGGCACGGGCTGGTAATGTTACGAGTAGTGTACCCACTAGGAATATAACAATTCACTCACCCTCCCCGCCAACCCCTTCCCCCCCATCTTCCACCGGCGATTCGATGAATTGTCACAATTCCTGGTTGCGGTTTGGTTCGAGAAATAATTTTTTTGTGTTATTTTAAATAACTCATTTGTATTGCTAACTTATCTTTTTTCTACGGCTAAACTAGTGAAAGTTGTATTTATTTATTTCCCATCTACACACAAAGCTACTGTCGCAGCCCGCTTCGCGTTTTGTTTGCGTCTTTTCTTGCCTTTCGACAGTTTAATTGCATTTGTTGGTGTAAGTTTACGCATAGAAAACAAACACAAACAAACAACTGGGATGGTTGAACGGAGCCTGCTGTTGCATTCATTTATGACACATCTTGGTGCTGTACCGGGTGACATATGCTATCATGCTTGGAGGTATATCTGGGGTATCTTGTTTAGGCAGCTGTAATTTTTTCTTTCCCCCCGCTCAGTGACAGCTGCCACACCGAGCGATCAGCATCAGTGTGTAACTGATCCAGCTGCATCACAACTGTTATCTGCGCTGTCACTGTGCGCGCGCGTGCCCCGCGCACACATGCAGACACGCGGCGAAACGCGTATCTTATACAAATGGTTAAAATGAAAATGGTTGAAATGCGGTCATTCTTTTTTTTCATGCCCCTGACTGCTTGATCAGTATCGGTGCTCTCTCACGCGCACACTCTTACCCGGGTCCAACATCGTGTAATTTCCCATTATCTCAGACGTTACAACGTCCGGTGTGAAAATTCGTTTTGTCTTTGTTGTAATGATTAATTGTTACCGGAGACAAAAAAAAAACCGTTGCGTTTTTTGGATTACTGTAATCTTTCTTTGTTATTTAAATTCAGATGTGTGTGTTTATTCTAACAGAGAAGGTGATTGTGGCTGTCTAGTTCATACTGCTGGTGGGAATATTGTACTTATAAAATGTATAAATTCATTCTTTTTATATAGTATTAATTAATTTAGCCAACATAATTTAAGTGTTATTTTTTTTCCTTGTGACATATTTGCTCGTGTAAGAATTGAATGAAAACAGGTTTGTTGCATATTCCGGGCCAGTAGATGGAATAAGGGATATTTCTTGTATACAGTCTATCGTTTCATCATCAATAACAACCATCATTATCCATAAACCTTATTATTTTGCATATAGTTTCTGTCCTTCAAATGATCAGCGATTGTAAAATTTGCACAATGCCCATCACGACAGCAAGTCTCTTTTTGCGAGGGTGATATGTGGAAAATCCAACTGGAAGGTAGAGGCTAAAACAAAACAGTTTTCAATATTCTTTGTCAGTGAATGAATTTGTGCAAGAAATAAAGAGAACAAAATAAATAATATTTGTATCTAGTGGAGGAAAGATTATGTATTGTTCATCATCAAAAGATAAAATAATAATCAGCAGCATAGTATTAGTTGAGGATAGTCATTATCATAGTCAGCCATGCTATTCTCATCATCGTAATAATAATTTAATTACCTACTATAATCACCCAGAAATGTCTGTCCGTCCCGCACGTGACGTCACTCCACATGAGGCCCACCCTCTCATTAATAATCATGAGTGGGTGGATTTTTACACTAACGCAGAGGAAGGTCGAGCTGAATTAAATAATTTATCGTGCAAAGTCGCTGCAAATGTGACGTTTCTTTACAGAAAGTGACGTAAAAAATAAATCTATGCAGCACAGTGCTACATCTGTGCGTGACGTCACTGCAAAGAGGGCCCCCCCCCCCTTCATTAATATTCATGCCCGCGTGGAAATTTACACTAACGCACAAGAAGGTCGTGCACTCCACATGCCGCACCCCTCCCCTCATTAATAACCATGAGCGGGTGACGTCACTCCACATGCCGCACCCCTCCACAATAACCATTAGTGGGTGACGTCACTCCACATGGGGCAACCCCCCCCCTCAATTATCATGAGCTGAAAATGTTACTATTTAATATTTCAGATTTACTGAAATATTCACCCGTCCTTGGACGGGCAAAAAAGCTAGTTTTAATATATTCCGTGGAATTGACTGCTATTTTTGTTGTCAGAGAAAGCCCCTTCAACTGATTCCTATTCACACTAAGTGGCACCTCTTCTCACATGCCTTGCAAAGAGTGTTCGTCACATGTCAGGAAAACGAAACATTTAATTACTTTGAGCTGCAATTAGCCGAATTAGATGACAAAGCAAATTTAATATGATTGGAGATTTGGCGCAGTCATTGATGATGACCAGCTTAAACCATAAGCAATTCATGATTCACCTACCCCCACGATTTATTTCAAATGCCAACTATTTGAATATAATTGTGAATAACTGATTATCACATTTGTAACCCATGCCCACTGTTGTCTCGTCGTTCTGGCCGTGATCTTCACCTCACCACATGAGACAATCATTAAATCAAATTGTAAAAGTTCGGTAGTCCTCTGCGTCGTATTATTGTTGTAGCTGTTAGGGGCCATCCAAATGCACACGCTTGCGTATGGGGGGTCTACTGACAATGTACGTACGCATAGGAAACAGGGGTGAAGCCTCGATAATAATTTGCCTACATTGGTCTTCAAATGAGTTAGATAGTCCGGCGGTGGACTATCTGTTTGCTTAAACACGTTAATATTGTTAATCCTTTATCGGGGGGGGGGGGGGGGGGGGCGTCAAGCGTATGTACGTAGGTGGGGGGGGGTGTAAAAAGTATGCGTGCGTACAGGGAGGGGGGAGGGGTCAAGTTTTGACAGATTTTTTCGTATGTACTTAATGGATGGCCCCTTACGGCTCTTTTTGATGTTGCAGCACGCCACACTGTTTCAGCATTTCACTTGGCTCCCATATCCTAAGTCCTTAGTCTCGCTGAGCACTGTTGGGGATACGTACATGACCTAGCGGGTCACCAGAGTCATCGCAAGAGACATAGCCAGAATACAATGCGGAGTACGACCGAACTTTGGCAATGTGATTTAATGATAACTACCGCTGTGTTCTCGATGAAGTTCGTGGCCAGAAGAGCGAGACACAGTGGGCTTGTGTTACACATGCATGATATAATGTGTGTATAGTAGATGTATTTGGTCAATTAATACTTGCATATTTATGCCACAATTAGACAATCAACTTGCAATGCTTCTGAACTTGGCTTAATCACCGGTGGCTGAAACCCAGATTTGAACCCAGGAACCTGACGATGTACAGTTTTTGGATTGTTTTATTCCTGATTTTCCTTTCTGTCCTGTAGCCAGGTCCCAATCGAAAATGAGTGTGCATTGCCCAGTGGGTTTCACCTGTGCTGAAACAAAACCTAAACCTAAGGAATGATATTCATCACTGCTTTTGTTGTTATTGTTTCGTTGTATTTGTGCGCAGGTGTCTTGTCGCGCCATTGGCATTGGGGCCTACCTGGTGAGGCTGGGTCAGAGGGTCATCCAGGTGGAGAACTCCCACATCATCCTCACGGGGGCAGCCGCCCTCAACAAGGTGAGAGAGCGGCGTGAACAGAAGCCGACTTGGTAACGAGGTTGCGGGTGGGTTGGGGGGCACACTAGCCAATACAACTCAAGTTATACCCATATAACTCAAACCAGGAAAGACAATCAGACCCTAGTCCTCATAATGTGGACTACACTGGCCAACCAACACACTAGCCAACAACAGTCACACTCGTAATCATGCTAACCAACCAAACTCTAACCTATCCTTACCTATGGCCTTAACTATACTAGCCAAATAGACTCTACCCCATCCTTAACCACACTAGCCAACCAGATACTAGCCCTCCCCCTAACCCTAGCTACACTATACACCCAGGTACTCTTCATGTCCCGAACCCTCGTCACATTATCCACGCAGAAACCAGCCTTACCCCTAATCCTAGCCCTACTGCTGATCCAAACCCTAACCTCCGGTGTTTTGCCAAGTCCCCTTTTGACTTTTTGTTTAATTTAAATTTAGCTGCTCACAGGTCTTTTAATGTTTGAAGTTTTAATTGTTTTCCAGTCAACTCGTATACCCCAGTGGCGCTGTTATCGGCATCATGTCTTGAGACAATTCAACTTTCACTTGGAACTCTTCACAATTTGGAATCTAACATCACATTGTCCGTGACGCCGTCTCTGGAACATGGCTTCAAAACACCATTCATGATGGTACTCATTAATGATGATTCATGGTTAGGGTACCCCAGGTTTTATCCCTTAGAGCTGGGCTTAGCTAAATTCAGTGTTTTACGTAACATTTATCGTCATTGTCATTATGTAGTCACGGGCGACCGGGCTGAACCCTTCGAGTCCCTGCTCTTGGTAACTTGGTTTAAGTGCTCGTCACTGAAACCTGATTTAAAACTCATGACCTCAGGGTTGTTAGCTCAGTGCTGTAAATTGGCCAATATGTGCCTCGACAGTGAGTTTACTTATATGAGTCTCAAGACGTCCTCTTGATTTTTTTCCAATTGCACATTATTAAATAATTAATGTCCATCAATTATACAACATTGTTAGCATTTATTCTTAAATGTGTTGTACAATTTACAGGGCGTTTAATGCCCATTCTACTTTGTTTTGGCATGTTTACGCTGTGTACTTAATTAAGCTTGGTATATCCCTTGAAAACAAACAGTAATTATGAAAGAAAAAAAATTCATCGAGCTTTGTCAATCCAGAAGCGTCATCTTCCAATACTTCACCACACTGATCAGTGCGGCTTGGTGAAGAAGGAGCCCCAGAACTGAATCAGAGATTGCACGCCACTGATGTTAGCCGTGGTCGAGAATCAGCCTTGGGCTTTGCTTTTCACGTGACACTGTGCTGACAACTGCACCACCACTTCTCCCCAATGCACTATTACCTGGTCATAAATGGGCAAATAAATACAAAAGTTGGTGATTCTATGTTGACGGTGGTGCACACGCACATTTCTCAGATTTCTCAGGAATGTAGGGCAGTTAAATTCCTTTTGTTGAAATAGTAATTGGGCCCAGCAATGCATTGCAAAGTCGTGCCTTTTGGCTAGCAATCGAAGAAAGACAATCACTGCATCACTCACTTTCACGTGCACTTCTGCGGCCGTCTGGAACGCTCTTCCTTTCAATATTAGGGAAGCCACTGGAGCTATGTAATTTTTATAATATGTTGAAAAGTAATTTCTTTAGAACTAGTTTTTGTCTTTAATTTGTTGTCCTTCCTCTGCACCTCCAGTTAGCACGGTTGGCTAAGTATGGTGCAAAAGAAGTTCAACATACATAGATTGTGCCTTTTCAGGACAAGAACTAACCTTCCAACAAAGAAATGTGCCAGAAAAAAAAATATATAAATGGCATTATTTAGTAATACGTTTTGCTTTATGGAAGGTGTGTCTGTTACTCAACAAGCTACTATTAGGTAACTATTTATATGCCAATTTAAGAAGGCTATACCGAAAAAACAATTCTTATCAGGCCCCATGCTGTTAAGTGCAATCTGCAACTATTATTTTCCACTCTATCTCTATGGGCACTCTATCTCCGTGCGATGAAGAAGGGTCATTGCCCAAAACATCACCTTTTAATTATATTTATTTTTAAGGCCACAGTGTTATTGACGAATGTGTTAAAAAATTTACACATCAATAAAAGTAATCTATGTACGTTCCAGATAATTCTAACCCTAGTATGCAAATTCCAAACTGTATGAAAGTTCTGCTCCCAACACAACCCAATAAAACTTTTCCAGACGTTAAGCTTTGAGGCTATCTCAGTTAAGTGCAAAGCTTAATGGCATTGTATATACACAAACACTCTTATGCATACTGTAGAGCATTCTGGGTAATAAAATAAATCAATGGCATTGTTTGATTACAGTCAGGATTAGTGTTGTGGTTAGTTAGCGTTAGCGCTCACATTCATGATTTTGTTAGTGCTATAAAATGCCTGTTGGAATAAGTTTAAGGTTAGGGCTGAGTGAAGGTGTTTAATGTCTTGTTCTGAATTACATTGAGGTTTCCCTCTTTCCAAAAATAAAGCCCTCATTCCAAAAATAAAGCCCTCATTCCCATTGGCCTTTATCCAGATGCGCTTGATTACAGTAATTTATTTTAATTTGGGTCAATTGTAGTTACAAATGTACGCATTTTTTTTACAATTTCAATCATGCTATCTTGTACATATGTTAGATGGCCGAGGATTGGTGACCAGTGACCTGAGGTTGATTTCCAGTCATGGCTAACGTCAATGACGAGTGACATCTGAACCAGTCCTGGCTCCCCCCAAACCCTGATTCACCAACCTCCACTAACCAAACAAACTCCCTTGATTGATACAGCATTGGAAGGCCTAAACAAATGGCTATCTGTAAATGATTACTTCATTTTTTTGGGAGATATAAAAAAAATACTAAAATGCAATGACATTATTTTCAAACCCATGGTTAAAATACTACAATTATGTTTAAGATCCTGTAGTTTTTACTGTAATAAATAATGAATCGTAATTTGCAGCCCTTTGTGAATGCACTGGTCGATGAAGGCATCTTCATGCCGTATCGATCGTGGGGTGAGGTTTTTTTTTTACCATACTTCACCAAGCTGGGCAGTGTGGGTTAGTGAATTTCGGGCCCCGGTACAGATTCAGACACCACTTTCCACTGATGTTAGCCATGGCCAGGAATCAAACTCAGATTGCCGGGATCATCGTGCATTACTCTAACCACTGCACTACCTCTCCACCCTGCTGTTAATGTGTATTGCGGACATGACAAGATTGAAGCAGTGCCCTATTCTTTCTCAGAAGAAAAAGGGGGCATTGCCCAAAACGCTATCTTTGTAAGACGTTTGAGTCGTAAGGCACTGTTGTTATTAATGACGTTGGCTGGAGGTATTTTCAGCCTCCGCGTGCAGACACAGCCCAGTGGTGCGAAATGCTAATGCAAACGGGGACACAGGAGGAAAGGGGCTGGGACGCAGCTAATAATATATAAACAAAACTAGACACAAACAAAGAAACCCCACAACTACAAGGACAGCAAAATGAAATGAATGCGGACGCCACGGTGCAGGGATGGCGTGGAAGCAGAGGTAGTTAAAATGCTGAAGCGTTCGTTTGAGCCGATTGTAAAATGGAGCACGGCCACGGAGAGAAAATAAGATTCGCCGTAAAGGTCGCGCAAGTTCAGCAGCTGAGGTTCACTGTAAATTGTAAAGGAATGTCTTTGTTGGAGCCAAGGATAAGCGTACGGGACGCAGAATATATAGCGGTTCCATTTGAATAAGTGGGAATTTTTTTTGCAGGATTTTTTTTTAGTTCTTAGATGAAACTTGACTTTATGCAGCCAAGTGTTGGTAGGGGAGGTGCCATTAACTTCCTACAGTCCCCGAGTCTTGTGGCAGCATTTAATCTGTGATGGATGTAACCTGGGCCCAGTGCCTTCCAACAGTAATGTCATCACGGGGGAAGGCATTACTCATGTAATACGCGCGTAACCTTAACTCAAACATGTAAATTACGGAGGAGGAAAACAAATTAAGACATTCATCCTGCCTGACAAAATTGCACTGTCGCCATCAGTCTTGCAACCTAGATGAATGTTGCCCCCGCTCCCGTAATTCCGTCCCTTGATTTTTATTTGCCGCGGTGTAAATGGTTTTCTCCCTGCGGCGTTTTGCTTGGTAGGCCAATCACGTCTGCGGCGCCACTCCAGCCGAGGCTGTCGCCCGCCGCACTGACTCATTGGCCGGGCCCTTTAGAAATGCGCGGAAGCGTGGAATACGTTTCCTCCCCCCTCCCTCCCTCCCGCCGTGAAAAAATTGCCACGAATATATTTTTTTATAATAATGATTCTATCTTTAATTTGCGGATATTGGAGCACAAAAGTAAGATCGGGATGGTGAATAGTTATCGTCATCAGAATGGTTTAAAATTGATGTGTTGGATACAATCATTTATTAATGCTTATTACGTTTTGTAACAACACAGGATTAATGAATTGTATCTACTGGGGAGATGACACGTCACTTGGGTTTCTTCAGGCAGAAACTCACTGGGTTGCTAGTTCGGTCCTTGCCGTGCCCTCCCTCAAGCTGTTCCGCATCCTGGCTCTTCTCTTGATTTGTGCTTGCTCTTTCTTCAGATTCCTTTAATTCACTTCAGCGTTACTATCTTTGAGAAAAATATAACAATAATTTCAATGAGCTTTTGTAGACTCTTTATCGCCCTTTCTCTCATCTCACTTTCTCCCTATATATATATTCTTTAACCCTAACGTATTTTAAATGTTTTCTCTTTTGACGCTACCATTTCGTGCGCGTACCTTGGCCATGGACTATCTCCGGCACATCCCTATCCTTCATCACACATAACATTAGAGGGATTTTTTCTTTCCCTTTTTGGTCTTCATCAAATTGATCAAATTTCATCGCTCAAAATCCTTGAACCCCAAAGTACACTGCAGCCGTATGGCTAAAGATGTGCTATCCATAGCAAGCTTGCTTCAAGGTAAGACCTTTCCTAT